AACGTAGGGCTGCCAGCCTGTGTCATTAAATGCACAGTGGCTTTTAAACTGTGTGTGGTGGCAGTTACTTTGAAAATGTTTGCTAAGGTATGCATACATACGTTGTACCTACATACATACAGTCCGATGGAAATATATTAATATAAATAAGTAAATAATAACTTTGAAATGAATTGACAGTGCCTGTCTAAATGGCTCTAAAATTGTTGCATATCTTGCCTCACTTTATATACAGGGTATTAAAAATGAGAGGATGCGCCAGAACATCCGTTTCGCTTCGCCGTGTGGCTGATCCTGTGCGCAATTTTTTTTTTACAATTTTGGCTGAAAAGCAGGCGAGCAACTAATTAGTTTTTTTTCGTTCTTCTTATTTTTTAAGCACACTGAAAATTTGCCAAGAAGCTGACTGCATCGCTGGCTGTCTGTCCGGCAAGAACTTGGCCATATTCGAGCTCTTCTTTGCCTTTTATGGCGTTTCACAATTAGTGCAGCAGCAGCGCCTGCGGCTGGCTGGGCCACAAACAAGATTTCAATAAGAAAATCTGAAAAATCTGAAAAATCAAGCAAATGTAGCAAAGCCAAAAGCTAAACAACAAGAACAACAACTGCGACGCACACGCAGCCAGATTTTAATCAAAAATTCACAGCATTGTTTGCCTGTCAAAGCAGCAAAAAAAAAAGGCCGATTATCGCAGGCGCAGGACGAGCAGGAGCCCGAGTAGGACTAAGAAAAGGCCTGCATATAGCAAAGTTGTTGCTGTTGTTGTTGGCTTAAATTCCAAGCGCATTTCATAAAGCACCACAGGCAAGAGTGAGTGAGTGAGAGAGAGAGAGAGAGAGGGCAACAAAGTAAGAAAAGAGAACAACGTGCCATAAAACTGTTCCATATTGTTGCAACAACTACAACGGCATCGACATCGGCATCGGCATCGCGCGTGACCACAGCTGCCCCAGGCGCTGGTGTTGGTGCCCACCCACTTATCGCAACATTGCTTTATGGCATTCTTCTTCGCTGCTGACCGACACATTTAATATAAGAAACTCATGAATATCATTAGCAAGTAGAGAAGAAAGAAGCCATGAGCAGCCATTAAGTTGTTGTAATAACAATGAAAATGTTTTCGTGCATGATAAGATGCTCTTCATATTAAATTTAATAACATTTTTAAATATTTTCCCGCGCTCCATGTATTCTATTTATTTTTAATCAGCTGGCAATACGCATAGCGCTGCCACATCGGTAGAAATACATCGTGTAGCATAACAAGCTGAGCGGTCACACTCTTAACTATCGCATAGTTACAACTCGATACATTTGTGTGGTGGTGGCGCACGATTGACACTTATCGTTACAGAAATATTCGCAAACGTTGTCGAAAGTGTTGTCGATGCGTTGCGCAGTGTTTAGTTTATTGTTTATTAACAGGTAAATAAATACTCAATATGTGTGTACTCATGTAAATGCCAACGCTGTTAAGTAAATAATAAACAAACTGTGATTGTTGTACAAGCCGAATGGCTGTATTTGTGTGATCAGATTTTAACATTGAGAGATAATTTTCTCTTGTCCATCTCGGTTTACTGTATAATTTGTGCGTCATCATTGTCTGTTCGCTGTTGTTTGATTACAAATATATGTGCAATATTGTTGACGAACTAAACAATCTACCGGTGCACTGTACATGTTGTTTCGCATTCGTTTGTTTGATTAGAAAGTCGGCTGCCGATATTGTGGGTGTGTGGGTACCGTTCGGAACGGCAAAGAGCAAGCAACAGCAGCTACAAAATTTCTCAACGTACGTCAAGGCGAACATCGCGCGAAAAAAGCTGAAAGAAAAAAATCATAATATAATCGTCGGCGCTCTCGCATCACCCAACACCCGCTGGCCTAGACTTGCTCTCTCTCTCTCTCTCTCTCTCACTCTATCTGTCTGCCTGACGGCTGTTCCGCGCTCAGTGACGATATAATGTCGACAGCGACGTCGACGCGTCGGCACGCGTAGCTCTTTTTCAAAGGTCACGGGCGGACGCAGGAGGCGGACGGCGCCTGTTTTTATTTTTATTGGTTCGCTTTGTTTTGTTTTAGCGGCGGAAAGAACGCGAAAATACGATAATTCAAGATACAATGAAAAGCAGAAGGAAAAAATAAGCATTTCTGTCGGATAAATTCGACCACAAAATACTTTCTAAAGTTTGAGAAGCATTTGTTTTTCATTCTCTATGAATATGAAACGGTAACTTTAACAGTGCGTTTATTTCAATTTGTTATTTGTTGAGTCCATCTCTAAAACTGCATTTCGATGTTTTCAAACAGGTAGAAAGTTTTAGAGCCACTTGTTTGCTATTGCGTTTGTAGTATGTTTGACTCTAAAGCTCCAAATGGAAGTAAAGGGTGTCAAACTGTAATTTCACATCTAGTCGAAGCCTGGCTCTAAAACAAATACATATTATAGTCATACTTCTACAATATACTCCTCTTAACTCTATAAATCGGCTATTTCCAGCAATAAATGTTTTGTTTTCATTTCGTCAGGCGCCAAGATGGATTTCGCCAGCGTACTTAATAAGAGCGAGCCACACCAGCGCACCATCATACACCTGGACATGGACTATTTCTATGCCCAAGTGGAGGAGTTGCGTAATCCCTCTCTGCGCACCCAACCACTGGCCGTGCAGCAGAAGAACATTGTGGTCACGTGCAACTATGTGGCCCGAGCGAGAGGCGTTACCAAGCTGATGCTTGTCGTGGAGGCAAAACGTCTTTGCGCTGACCTGGTGCTGGTCAATGGCGAGGATCTGGCCCCATATCGGCTAATGTCCCAAAAGATCTTCGATCTGCTGCTCAACTATACGCCCGATGTCGAGAAGCTGGGTTTCGATGAGAACTACATGGATGTCACGTCGTTAGTGGAACTGCGACAGGCACACGCTGCCGATGCCCAGTTCAAGCCACCTGTGGGACACATTTACCCAGCGGACGGCACTCCGCTGACTGCCTGCAGCTGCGGCTGCGCCCAACGACTGGCCATAGGCACGCGAATAGCCCAGGAGATACGCGACGAACTGCACCTGCGGCTGGGCATCACCTGTTGTGCTGGCATTGCCTACAACAAGCTGCTGGCCAAGCTCGTGGGCAGCCGCCACAAGCCCAACCAGCAGACGGTGCTGGTGTCCACGTATGCGGAGCAGTTCATGCGGGAGCTGAACGACTTGCACAGCGTCACGGGCATTGGCCAGAAGACGCAAACGCTACTGCAGGAGGCGGGCATTACCAGCGTGGAGCAACTTCAGAACTGCGACATGGACTTTATGCGCAAGAAGTTTGGCTTCGAGACAGCGACAAAGCTGCGCGACTTGGCTCTGGGCCGCGATGCCAGCTGCGTGCGGCCGACAGGCAAACCCAAGACGATCAGCGTTGAGGATGCCTGCAAGACCATATCGGTGCACACGGATGTCACGGACAAGTTTCGCATGTTGCTCAAGCGACTGATGGAGCAGGTGGGCAGCAACCTATAAATATAGAAATTCAACAGACACTCATTTTGAACCATACGTAATCCTTCCAACAGGTGGCCGAGGACGGTCGCATTCCCATTGCCATCAAGGTAGTGCTGCGTAAATTTGATCCCCAGAAGAAGAGCAGCCATCGCGAGACCAAGCAGGCGAACATACTGCCCTCGCTCTTCAAGGCCTCGGTCTGTGCCGGCGAGACGGGCGTCTGTAAAGTGCAGCTGGCTGATGGAGCATTGGACAAGCTGCTCAAGATCATAATGCGTCTCTTTGAGCGCATTGTGGATCTAAATAAGCCCTTCAACATCACACTGATTGGCCTGGCCTTCTCCAAGTTTCAGGAACGCAAGGTTGGCTCCTCGTCGATAGCAAATTTTCTCATTAAAAAGGCCGACCTGGAGGTGCAGTCAATCACTTCTCTAACAAATACGAGTCTCACTAGTCCTACGTCGGAGAGCAGTCCGACAGCGATGAGCGGCGACGAGGCCGCCTTTCGCTCCTCACCCACCACATTCAAGCCCAGTGATCAGTTCTATAGAAGACGCGCCACCACAGCGTCTCCCGTTCCCATGCTCCTGGACAATGGCTCGGAATCGGCAGCCACCAACTCGGATTTCAGTGATTTCTCCGAAACGGAGGTGGAGCCCTCGCCCAAGAAGAGCCGCATTGGCCGCGTGCTGGTGTCGAAGCGCAGTCGCCTCGCCGGCGATGTGGCGGACACGGCAGCCGATGTGGCCTCTCCGAGCAAACTGCGCGTTTGCGATCTGCGACTCAACTCACGTGACAGCGAAAAGGATTTTCCCATGAGCCCGATTGCAGCATCTACATCGGGATCGTCCAGTGCGCCGCGATTTCGCACAATTCAGCCGCCCAACACGCTGGTCAATCGAATCGATGGCAGTCTCCGCTTCATACCCGCACGCACGGCCAGCCGCCTTAGTTCGAATGCCAGCTCGACGGCATCCTCGCCGCTGCCCTCGCCCATGGATGATACGGTCAGTGCGCCCAGCACTCCCACTCTGACACCAGCGTTGCAGGAGGCAGCCCAAGCGCCCAGTGTGGGCAGTGCAACCACGGAGGCGGCCACAGGCGATTCACTGGCGCATCTGGCCTGTCCCGCCGGTGTGGATGCTCAGGTCTTCAAGGAGCTGCCCGTTGAGCTGCAAAACGAATTGATTGCCTCGTGGCGCAGCTCGCTAGTGGTGGCTGCAGCCAATGCCGTGGAGCAGGCGACAACTAGCAGCGGCAGCTCGGCCAGTGCGGACAGCAGCAGCAACAGCAGCGGAGCCGGAGGCAGCAGCACCACCACGCAGAAGAATACCCTATATCGTTATTTCCTGAGGAACAAGTGATGTTGTTGTAGCCGCGTTCAACGCAAACTCTGCCTAATTAAGATTAAAAACGAAACACATATACACTATATTATATATACACATATATATTTTGATAGGTTTGTGGTATTAGAATAAACTGTTGATGAAATTCCCGGATTCGCATTATTCAGTACATTTATTATTTCATATACACTTCATTGAATACTCACATACAGAATTTTAAAGGTGCCCTACTTAAGCTTAAATCTTTTAATATTCTCTGTGTTCGCCCTTGCTAAAGCGTCCAGACGAATGCTGAACTTAAGCGCTTGCACACTTTGCATATATTACTAACATGTGTTTTAAATAACAAAACTTGTTTTTGTTCTCTTTGTTGCTAAGAAATTTGGGAATCTGTCCGTTTGACTTGATACAAGTTAAAGTCGAAATACATACAAATTGAAGTTTTGTAGTTTACCTTAAATGGTAACAACGAAATATGTACAAAAAAAATATAAAAATAGAAATAATAATGATTTGTATATAATTATATAGAACAGTATACAATTTGTTTAGGGCGACCTATTATCATACATTTTAACTATATATATTTATATATATATATAACTATATAATAAACTATTGATTAAAGTCTTTGAAGCAATAATTCATTTTTTATAGTGTTTGCTAGGAAAATGGCAACAACAGCAGAAACGACGGCAACAGTTGCAGTGGCACGTTCAGTGGCTCAGCCAGCCGCATTTGATAAAGAACTTGCGCAGCGAGATTTCCATGGGGCTGCCCAGAGATGGAGCACCACTCAGGCAGACCGTTTTGAAGGATAGATAGGTTGTGGGTGTTATGTTGTGCTTCTTGCACAAATCCAGCTCATTGTGCGTGAGCAAATCGCTTCCCAGTGGCTGTGATCGACGCTTCAGCTCGTCCAGTTGGCTACGCAGAATTTGGCTCATGCTTGGCGGCTGCTGTTGCTGCTGCAGCTGTTCCTCTGCCGAACTATTGCTGGCGGCGGCGGCGGGATCGCTTAGCTGCAGCTGCATTTTTAAGCCGCTTTGCAGCAGCTGCTGCTGATGTTGTGGGTTTCCCTTCGCTGCTGCTGTCGACTGCGGCAAGTTCGCCTGGGCTGCCGTCATCGTAGCCGTGGAAGTCGCTGCCGTCGCTGTCATTGCCGACTCCAATGTCAGCCCCTGGCCCATGTCCGTGCTCAGCCCCATCGCCGTCGCCGTCACCGTCCCCGTTGTCATTGTCGTCGGCAGCATCGTTGTCGTAGCTGCCGACGATGTCCGATAGCTATCCAAGTAGTTTCTGCTGGGCAATAATACGCCGGAGCAGGTCGGGTCGCCGATGTGGTGCATGCTTCTTGGTGCGATTGAACTTGAACTTGCCTCGGCGCCGCTTAACTGTTCGCTGTGAATCGATGCAAACAAGAGAAAATTTTGATGATATGATATGATCCATGCAGGGATGTATGGGTTGACTTACGCCTTTCTGGGATTCGCTTGAGGGGAGTGCAAGGAAGAGCTTAGCGGCCGAAGACTTCCATTGTAATGATGTATGTTGTCCTGTGGTTAAACATTGTCTTATACAACCATTCAAACGCTGCGAGTTGGGCGCGTTGATAATACAAAGGAGCTGAATATCGTGAAAGTAAGACAAGAGACAGGGAGAACATTTTCATTGCGTTGCGTTGCGATTCAACTAACATAGCTAACAACCAGAGCTGGAAAATCAACAGAGCTACTCCTTCATCTCAAAATGGATCGGTTGCCAATTGGGTTTTCCAGCTCTAGCAGACACGATATTCAACTCGCCATGCATTCAAATACAAGGGACCAATCACACAAATGATATGCCACACTTACGGTCTTTCCATGGCCATATGGTCCCGTGGAGCGGTGCGTCGCCATTGCTGCATGCTGCTCAAAGTGCCGGCAATCGTCGATCTTCGTGATGCCATTGTAGCGATAGCGATATAGTTCCGATTGCCTGATGCGCAGCTCCTTCTCGCGCTCTAGCGAGCTGAGCAGGCGCTCGTACTCGTTGCAGGAGTAGAATTGAGCAAAGACACGAAAGCGATCGCGGAACTCCTTCTGCTCCTTGGTGAGGCCCGGATGCAGCGCATAGTTGCGATTGCGAAAGAAGTTGGCCACGAGCTGATAGTCGCGCACCATTCGTTTCCTGCGTGCCCGCTCGCGCAGTCGCCGCGTATATATGTCTACGTGAGCCAGTTTCAGCATGACATCCACTTCCACATCCTCCGAACTGAATACAATGTTTGAGATCAACTGTTCGGCCGTTGGATCATACTCGCGCTCAAAGCTATCACGATTGGGCATGTAGCCCAGTTGCAGCGCTTCTTCATTGGTTATATCTAGGGGTGGCAGGCGGGCAAGCGCATTGGCGCCCAAGGGTCCAGTGTCATCTTCAGTGTGATCGATTAGGATGGGCCGCTGTAGTTGCGCCGGCGTCCAAGTGGCCTTGCCTATGGTTCCATTCACAAATTTATTTACATACTCCTCTTTGGCATCCTCCGCGGACTTGGTTTCAATGTGTTTGCTAATATCCTCCCAATTGCCAAAGCCATACTGTTCTATTGCATCTAGCAGGCGAATCTCTTCGCGTGCCGTCCAGGCGCCCTTGCCGCGAAATACACTCAATATGGCAGTGCCGGTGTCCATAAACTGATATGCATGACTGTTTTGATGGGCGCCAATCTCTGCGCCAGTTGCGAAGCACTGCAAAACAAAAATATGAATAACGGAAAACTTCAAAACAACTTTTGTTTATGTGATTCTTCACGAATTATCGAACTTTGCGATAACTGGAGAAATAACTGGAGACTAGTTATCCGTTAGTGGCCAATACCGATTAAATCGGTTATTCATATGATTAATTTAATTTCAGCAGATATTAATTAACTGGAATATAGTTCTATACCAACTTTCTTTATGGTCACATGAACTTCAACGTCAATTTACCAGCACTTTCTATACAATACTTAAAAACATTCAATCACATTTACAGACACACACTAGTATCAATTTTTGCATATTTTGTTGCCGAGTACAGAGAACAGCTGTTTAAAAACAACATTGTGAAATCGCCCGGCTATATGTACAGTTTTAGATGCGTCAGCACAAACACATATATATGTCAGCTCTTTTCGCGTTATGTCTGTGTCGGCGTGTGTGTAAAAAGTCTATGTATGTAGGTGTATGCTACACATTCATACATACACATACATATACGAGTACTTATACTTACTTGGAGGCACAGATCAAAATTTTCGCACTCAGCACAATGTACACGTATGCCTTGGATATCATCCTGGCAATTGGTACAATTGTACTTTGTGAACAAATCCGCAATTGTAGTCATTTCGACTTTAAATAGCGTTTTTTCTTGAATAATTGAAAATGCGAAAAACGCTCTATGCTTCAGTCGCCATCTTGGCCCAACAACAGAGTTGCCATATCGTTCGAAAACCCCAGCTAATACCCTTGTCATGCTCTGGTGTGACCAGTTCTGCATTTAGTTGTCGCATCACCAGAATGCGCGCTCAATTTAAAAATCACACTCTTTTCTTGGATACAATATAATATATTTATTTAATTTCAAAAGTTTAATTCGAGTTTTGCCATTTGTCTTGTAATAATCAATTTGTTTTTACGCTAATATCACACAAATAATATATAAAACTAAAATATGAGAAACTTCGCATAATATCAAACCCAAACCGAAAGAAATACATATAAATACCGATTAGTCTGTGGTTAGCTTAAGCCAAACAATAACAAAAAACATTGTAAGCAATTAGCTTAATATAAATACAAATGGTGGTTACGGGAAGGAACACGTCTAAAATTATGCAAATTTAAATAGCATTAAGTAAAAATCAATTAAAGAATGTAATGCACGAATGCGTCGAATAATGACCGATGCTTAAATCTAAAAAAAAGTATTTAAATATAATTAATTATAAATATAATTATATATACGTAGATATATATGAATTGCGCTGGGCTTTAAACTTGTTGTTAGGAATTACAATGAAGCTTGCTAAATATAAGGTTATATTAAGATTGATTATTATTGATTAGATTTGTTATATGTTGAATATGTTTTATAATATTGCTGTGTCCTTCCGAGCAGCAGCCGCTTTGGTATCTGAGGGGGACGGGGAGGACGCGGGACTCTCTTGATGAGGACTAGTTAGTGTATGGCATTTGTCGTTACTGTTGCTAGTTTGCTTAGACCATAACGAAAACAAATAATAAATAAAATAAAACAAGGCTACTATATAAGAGAACTTTAACATAAATCTTATGGCAAGTTGTTGTACAGCTGCGTTTTAGAAACGCGCACTTTACAAAACATACTTTCAATTTGAATACCTAAAATCATCTAAATAAGTCTATTTGAGCGCCAAATTCGTGTTCGAGTCGCACCTGCTTGTGGGGAGCACACGGCTAGAATATTGTTTCTATTATTATCTATATAAATATGTTTTTGATACTTTGTCAAGATTTGAGATTCACAAGCGAGCAAGTTTCTGGCAGTTGTTTGCACAATTTGTCACAGTTTAGTTTTCTAACTTTTTTTAATTCGATTTTTGATTGCGAGTTTCTTGTGTCTTGTATAAAGGAACTAACAAATACTATCCAACCACGTGCAGGCGCGACGGCAAGCGTTGTCATGTGCGACAGGCAGCAGCCCCTAATAAACTGGAGCCGGCTCCTTGTCACCGCAACGAGACTCATAAATTGTTTTCGATTATAATGTCCCGATTGGGGTTAACATAAGAGAATGCAAAAGCTTTACCTAAAACATAACTATTAACTAATTTGGTATGTAAAGTCTTTGTGTCTTTAGCCAGAATCTGATTATGATAAAAATTCCATGGGTTACAGTAACCGGCAAAGCAAACTAACAATAGCAACAACAATAAACTGCCAGTTAACTCACATGGGAAGGATTCCTTGATTTTTATGAACGGGTCACACAATGCGGCTGCTCTGCTGCTCGATTCCTGTTCCTGTTCTTCTTGTTGTCCTCTTGTGTTGTTTATTGTGAGTTGTTGTTGTCGTTGCAGTAGTGTAGATTTTGGCAAGGAAGCATCTAAACGTTGGCTAAGCATGGCTACAACTGGCGCTAAGGCCAGACGGGATCTATGTTGTGGGGATCTATGTTGTGTGGGACTGGGACCGATGCTGGCTTGAACTTTAGTTACACGAATATGCAGCTCTGTGCATAAGTTGTGCCCAAATACATTCTGATCACAGCGACAGGCGCTGCCGTTGCTGCTGCTGCTGCATGGTTCAACTTTAGGTGTCGTTGGTGCGGTAATATTAGGTGGTTGTGGGTTAAGTTGCTTCTTGATAAAATACTTGTGGGGTTTGTTCATCTTTAGTTACGGTAGAATCTGCTTCTTGGGTTTTTTTAACTCAGCGTCTTCGTCACGCTTGACTTCAGTGTAGCGTTCGCCCTTGAGCGACACTATTTTATTATCACGATAGCGCACAAGCTTACGCGGCTCCATTTTGGGAACCACCGGCTTGTACTCCCGCTGAGTGGCATTCTTATCCACATACGAGTATCTAGGAAACAAAACAAATACAATTAGTACCAAGAAAACTGAGAAACAAAATACGATCTACCTGGCTATAATGCGATTCTTTAGCTCATTGTCATCGACGACAACGTTCTTTTTCATGCCAACAGTGTGCGACTTGTCGGTCAAACTCTGATTGGTGTCCTGACGATGCAAGAGAATTTGTGTAGCACTATCGATGTCGCCCTTCGATATGGCAATGCAATGTTTTATCTGTCAAAATTTCAACATTTTCATTGATAAGGGAAGGTAAAAGTTTTATGTAAGGCTACTTATAAAAAAGAAACCGTTAAAATTGAGCAATATTCAAGAATTTATTTCTCGTTTTGTCTTACAGCTTAAGATCGCCTGGACTACTGACTCACCTCGACGTAAGCCGTATCGGGAAACATCTCCTGCAGCACTTCGGCCTCATCCAAAAAGTAATCGCAGTTCGAACTGGAGCTATCAGTGGAGCCTCCATCACTGGTCTCAGACAAGTGCTGGGAGCGCTTGCCGTGGCAGCCACCATTGCCGTTGCCGCTGCTGCTGCTGTTGTTTGAGGATAATTCGTCCTTCTCCGATATGGATGAGTTGCGTGCACGTAGCTTGGACTCTGGTATAATGTTAGACAAGCTCAATTCGCTGTTAAAAAAAAAAGTATTAATGACATACAGAAAATAATACAAATGTAACATGAATTCGAAAATATGTTCTGGCTTACTGGAGCGATAAATTGATTGAGCTATGGTTGTCTTGATTCTTTTCCATATCGGTCAGCTCGTTAGCCAGCTTGTATATCCATTCGCATATAACGCCCTGATCGATGGTCGAGAACTCCTCAAAATAGGCGCCCATCATCTCAACGAAGCCCTCAACATCAAAGCACGGATCCTGCGAGGCCTCCTCCAATATTGATATAATATAGGAAAGGACAATCTCATCCACAACACTGAAGTCGGCACCTGGTATATGTGCGCTGACAAACTGGACAAGACTTCGCTTCACCATCTCGTGTTGCTTTTCCAAATTGGTCATGATTGCACTACTATTTCTATTACTGGCTAAATTTGATTTGTTTGGTTTTTCTCGTTTGTTCGGCGAATTTCGTTTAGCTGGTTTGCCTATTATTTCTGTAAAGCAGATATATAGATATTGTATATGTATGTATCTTTGTGCGTGTGCATGTGTAGGGAAGTCGACACCCGACGTTGTTATATTTATTGCAAACTGTGTCGGTTAGTTCATTGAGTCTAAAACATTTTTATATTGGTGCAACTTTAAAACAAACTTGAAATGAGAATTCGTTTTAAATAGCGTACTTTTTGATGGCTGCGCCTTTCTTTTGCTGCTGCTGCTGCTGCTTCTTCTTCTTTTCAATCAATAATACTTTTGCATCGCAATTGTGACGAGTATTATCGTTATCGAGAGAAAAATACTGCATACATTAACTATCGATATAATACCACATTCGCGTGCACAATTTGAATGACAATAGAATACAATTAATTAAGCTATAAATGTTATACAAGTAAACAATGTTATTATATTCATGATTTATTTAATAACGTATTTTTGTGTTGAGAAATGTTTGATATAAAACGTTTGATAATAAAGATTTGTTTTATAATGTGGTTGTCATATTACTGAGAGTATTATGATCTTTTCTATTTAAGTAATAGTCGGCTAAATTTTATATTTAATTGTATATATTTTATTAAATATTCTGTAATGTATTATAAAACACTATGAATATGTGGGCAAGAAAATTTATAACATTTAATTATTAGTTAAAATGTATACATATAATATGAAATTGAAATGACTTTACACAAACTCACTACTTATCCGAGAAATTCTCTGGAATGATTGTAATCAGTGAATCTCTCCTATGCCGCCACCGTTTATTCAATTCAGCAACTATCGATATTTGCGATGTATATTGTTAGAGGATAGTTGAATAGCGCACTGATTTTAATTTATTATTTTACAGCACTATAAATAAGTAATTGCAATTCAAATGTATATAAATGGGCAGTTGGAATATTATGCACCTGCCTAATAGAGTTACGTAAATAAAATACCTATTACAGGATGTCTCAGAAATTAACTGTTTTTGCAGTACCCATCAGTGTAATGCAAAGGCTGAGTTTATACATGCATATATATAGATAGACGAAACCAGGTCAAAGTTTTGACAAAGTCAAGATATCGTTCTGAGCCACATTTATCGCGGCCAAGGGGCTGCTGAACTGGTCGCGTTTGCCTCAGTATTAGTATTAGCTGGTAGCGGTAAACTTCATTTTATTGAACGATGATAGTATTTATATTATATTGAAGTTCAAGGTTACAATCGCTGCCGAACAAAAGAGAATCGATCGAGAGAAGCACTAATTAGTAATCACACGAAACGCATGATAATGATAAAGCATACTAAATATATGTAAATGCAAATTGGTTTTGAAACATGTATTTTTTAACATAAGACCCGGAAGCACGCTTACTGTCGCTATTTCACTCGCAAGACAGTTGAATTACCTATATGGATTGGAGTAAATATTAGCCCATGTAGTTAACAGTTGGATTTTTGGGAAAGCTCTGACCGATCTGACTGATGAGCTATTTTTCCCATAAGCGAAATGTGTTAACACGTTTCGAATTTTTGCGTAATTTCTCGTTACATACCTCAATGGAGTGGAGCCAGCCGCATGTCATAAGAGCTGCCTTTTTAGTTCGTGCACTGTTTTTTATTTTTTTATTTTGTACAATTTGTTTTGCCGTGACAATGATAATAAATCAATTAGTTGGAAGCTTTTTTTTATGCTTCTAAGGGTTTTACAGTACAAAAGTTTTTATTTTGTTCAATTGTTATACTAGTTCCCTAAATAAGAAGAGTATATTGGTTTTATGCAGCGAGTGAGCTGACATTTGGAATATATATCAAATATATAAGGTCGGTATAAATAATCTTTTAATTTCCTTCCATTTAGAAATGATTGGAATAAATATAGTGCTGTTCACTAGGGCCAGGGAAATAATCTTACTCACTTGAAAGGTGGAAATCCCCACATTTTTAGTTGCGTCATTGTTGACCTCTCCTTACACATTTCATGGTTCTTCAATGGAGGGCGTCACATCCTCAAATATACTCACTTTTCAAAGTGTTTTTGGAGCCATACCCGATTGTAATGATTTTTTTTTTTTTTTTGTAATTTAACGAGGGTTTTGGAATTACCGCGCGATATCTTGAGATACAGCGCGTGACTTCTAGCGAGGTGAATAAACTTTTTGAAAAGAAATAACCAATTCAATTTTTCGCAATACAAAAATAACAGTTTTGCTTTCTTTTGGCCCGTTTAGCAGACGCAATAATTGTTTCAAACTTGACCTTACCACCAAAAATAAAATTAAAACAAGTGCCAAAAATAAAAATGTCTTAAGCCGCAACTGAAATCAGCAATTAACGCGACTTCGATTTGCACCAAGCCGAACAATACAGAAACAAGTAATGGATTGACCAAGACCAAGCCGAAACCAAATCACGGGCCTGAGTGTCGATGTTTATGTGTGTGTGACAGTGTGTGTGTATGGGCCTGGGCCTGGCTCCGCGTTCTGGCCGCTGCCGACGCCAGCGGCGCGGCTTCGTCGACGACGTCAACGCTTCGGTTCAGCCGGCGGATGAACGCGCAATTTTTGTTTATTTATACAGCCGAGCGTGTAGAACTCCGTATTAGTGTCTTCTTGGCGTTCGCCGTTGACGGGTTTCTCGTATCCTCAGCTAACCCAGTGTGAGTGTCTGTCAGCAGTTCAGTGCTTCGTGCTGCATAACGTGTATGTGTGTGTGAGCGAGTGAGTGAGTGTGCTTGTGTGTTGTAACTGTGTGCAACGGGATCATCCATAATAAAGTACAAATCAGGTACGGAAGTGAATCGATCGATCATTATCGATCGATAATGGGTCAACAGTGTGAAAGTGAAGTCTATCGATAACAAACGCACACAAATTGGTTACGGACTGGACTGGACTGTCGCTGGCTGTAACTGCCTGTCAAATGTGACAGTCAAGCCAACTCGAATTGTTGCACATTTTGTGTTGGTGATGTTTGCACCGACTTGGCGCAACGCAACGCTCATTTTAGCACAGCATTAGCTCAGCTAGTCAGGCTGCCTTGACTAATTTTCGTTAGTTGCAATTTTGTTGCTCTTTGCTAATGTTTCTTTATTGGTGCCTGGCACTAGCTGTCTGATATTTCTAGTTGACCTTAACCCAATGCAATGCACATAGATTAAGTGCTGAAAACTTGTCTGAGGAGCTGCTGAGGCTGTTGCTGCTGCAGTTGCTGCAATTTTGCCAGCCAGCCAAGGCCAAGACTGACAACTTTGAGGCGGCCAAAACTAAACGCTTTGAACTTGTAATCAATAAATGGCGATTACATTGCCAGCTGCATCAAGATCAATTCTAATATCGAAACACCGCCTCCACTCGCCCCTCCTACCGTCTCCAGCAATTTTCAATTTACAAAATGGAGCGCTGCCAAGTCAGCAAGACTTGGGCAACCGAAAGAGACCCGAACTGTCAAAACCCAATTAACGTTGCAAATATTTACCAAGTAATTAAACGAGCGCCTCTTTGGCTAAGACCTGGTCTCTCAGTTGCCCAAGAGTCGTTTCACGTCTAGGCGCAGTCGCTAGGCGCTCAAATCAATTCAAGGGCTAAAGTCAGCTCGAAAACATATACTAAGCAACTTATATAAGTTTGAGCCTCGACTAATTGATTGACCCCCCTTATGTCAAGCAAAAAAGTAACAAACAGTTATGTACTGGGTGCTTATAGCAATACTGACTAATACAACAATAAGGAAATCTATTAAAGCCAAGTCGAAAGAATAAAGAAAAACAAAAACAAACGAAAACAAAACACATTAAGAGAGCTCATAATACTTTTGACCAAAGTCGAATTTAATGTGCAATTTATTATATCTATATCTATCTTTTTTTTTGGTTTACTAATGCATAAATTAAATATATATATTCCATATGTATATGAATATGAATGTATTGTATGCATAAAATTCTTGTGTACATACAAACATATTATATAATCGTTACATTTTTGACATTTTTGCTACCGACCTTTCACATAGGAAAGCTCTTCTCCTTCTATCATTCTGTTTCTGTTGCTTTCATAGCTGAATATTAAATTTGACTAAACAATTTGCTGGAACTATATATAAAAAAAAATACTTTAATAAATATGGATAGTTGTAAAAAACTTAGATAAAATAGATAGATTGATTAATAGATGGGATAGTTCGACTTTTTATTTTAAAATATAAACAAAATATATATTTATATATACATATATATATATATATATATATATATATATATATATATATATATATATATATATATATATATATATATATATATATATATATATATATATATTTTTTTTTTTTATACTTCATTATTTCACATTTTGTAAATACAAACATTTTCTTTTGGTTTTATTAAATTTCAAATAACATTTTCAACTTTCCTAATCTTTCCAATCTATTTATCTTTCAGTTTTCCTTCCAAGCGATCGTACAGTAAAATACTATTTTTTATTTTCGAAAAAAAAAAATTTGTTTTTTTTGCTGTATTTTGTCTTGACACTAAGTTTTTTCGAAACAATTTGATTGGCATATAGATGGCTCACAAATTCAGCAAACCTCAACTCAGTAAGCATATATATATACAAATATCGTCTGACTATATATGACCAATAGGTCATATTTGTCCAATTCCATCGTGTTACACCATCGATAATGGGGGAAAAATCTGGTGTTATATAGAAAATGGCAGAGCACAAAGTCACTTCTAAGTACGGACAATTGTTTGCTTTGCCTTTAGCATATACAGGTAGATGCGTGTGAAAATCACGTTACAATGTATGCACACACTAAACATCCGTGCCGGAGCTTCGATCCGATGCTTTTCGGTGGTACTTTGGGTGTGAGCTTGGGGTCACACGCCACTTGGCTGTGTTTGTGTGAAAAACAAAGTGGGGAAAATTATAAAAAAATAAAGATAAAAAATTTCTATACATATATATGTGTGTGTGTGCATTTGTCGCCCATTGGCTTGTAATTATTTGCCCAGTGCAATTATCTAAGTGCAACAAGCGAGTTGCAGCAGATGCAGCTGCACTAAAAATCATTAATTGCGTCGTGTGAAGAAACAACAAAGTTACAACAAAAAACAACAAAAGAATATTCTAGACGAATGTACATATAACTAGATATATAGATATATTTCTGTGGGCGTGCTTGTGTATGTGAAGTGTATAAGAAGTAGAACCTGAATAACTGGGCTAACTTCACTTGCCATCAGTTTTTAGTGTGCTTAATTTATTTTCGGTGTTTTTATCCATTGGTAGTCTTCTTGTTCAGAATCTTAGAAGGTCTCTAAGTCGAGCTCTGTGCAGCTATCTAAGCTTCTACATCCCAACTGCTTATATATAGCATACATGGTTGTTCGCTACATAGATCGATCAATTTCAGAATACCACGATAAACATCGTTATCAAAAATAACAGGTATTTATAGCAAAAGTAACTTTGTATACAAAAGCCGCAAACTTTTGTTGCGTAGGGTATCTCCTAGTCAGACATGAACCATTTTTGACTGAGTAATTTACCCGCATTATTTAGATGTCGAGAATTTGGAGTAGCTCGAGTCTGGACATGACAGCACAGCTGCTCATGTTATTTAAAACAATTCCGACAATAAAAATATATACATATAATATAATATATATTTGATTTTTTAGAAAAGCAACAATAGTGGGAGACTTATACACGCTGTTAAAGGCTACAACAATAATCGCATAAAATCAATTATGCATACAAAATAATTTTGCGTCATTATGCTATTTATATAGATATAAATTGATTTAGACGTCTATTGCTTTTATTTTTTTACTTTTTTTTTATATTAAAATTTTGATTTATTTACATAGAATTTATTAGCTTCTCGCAATGTTAATCCCTCTAATTAATTTCTCGTAAATTAGCCGGTAGACAGAGATACTTAGAACGGGGACAGAGGCCTTTGAGTTTCACCAACTGCATTATGTGGGGGGCGCGATCCCAAAACCGGGCAAAAGCAAGGGCAAGGGCAAGGGCAAGTGCAAGTGCAAGTGCAGTGCCAACTATCTGTCTAGCTGTCTCACTGACTGACAGACTATCCGTCCGCTTGGCCGTCTGTCCCACGTTTAGCGTCACATTTTTGGTCGTGATAATGCCGCAGAGCTCATTTTCCTGTCTCCAGTGTCAATCTGTTAGCTGTTTTGCTGACGCTAGCAGCACTGCCCGGCCACGGCCTGAATACAAATTAGCTGGCCCAAGATGTGTGAGCGAGCGAACGTCAGCAAGGGGTACGCTTCGGTGATCCAGGCACAAGCCCATAACTGGGCTCCAAGTCCCCTCTGGCATTAGGCTGTGCAAATGTGGCACAGTCGTTGGCATTGCGGCGTTCGTGTCAGATCTGTGTGCGATAGAGTCATCAGATGTCCACGGTCGACAACAGTTCAGGTACAATTCTCATCGGTTCTGGCCAGCTCTTTGGCTACTGTTACAGATTCATTGCAAGATATCGAGCATACGCCGTGTGTGCCGCGTGTCAGCCATAACTAATTCGTAATTAGAGCCCGGAAGGCTGTATATAGAACGAAAAAATAATAAATAATACATTAATTTAAATAGAAATTATCAATAAATAATACAACATCAAATTAATTTCAATTCAAATCGAAATACTATGCCAGAAACTGGAAATTTTCAAGAACTTGCACAAAGTAATAAAATATCAAATCGAAATAAAATTGTGGATTATGGAATGGCCCTTTGGCAAGGTCATGAACCGGAAGTGCTCTCGCCACTAGATCTCTCAATGCATATATTAATTCAACGAAATATCCAAAAACAAGTTGCCCAACAGCCAAACGAGCGCCGCAATTGAAAATTAATATCTCAATCATACGGCAGGCACATTCAATCTGACATACAGACAAAAACAGACTGAACAGAAGACATGGGTGCTCAATGTTGTTCCGCATGCAATTTAAATAACAAAAAGGAATAGATTGGGTATATGACTAACATGCGTCTATATATGTATTTGTGATATAAAAGTATATGAAATATTTAAATGGGCGATCGAGAAGCGGGTTAGGCAAGCAGCACAAGTTGCTATGTACATAAGTGCTTAGAACATTGCGAGTGTGTGTGTGTGTGTGTGTGTGTTAGTGTTAGTGTTAGTGTGTGTTTGTGTTTGTGTGAGGCTGCGCCATCTTGAATACTAAAAGCTCACATATGTGTAGCTCTACACTTGGCATCTGCAAGATGAATGCCAAAGTTATACGACTTTAGTGCCAAGGCGAAAAATTCAAATCTAGCCTTGTAGAATGCCACATACAAACACACATGCACTCACACACACACACACACACACAGATATAGCTCAACTTGATCAGGTCTTTAAGCCACAGTAACTTGCGGTCGCAGAACCACTAAAGCCAAAACCCCATCATCAGAAGCCAAGCATTTTAATTATGTGAATTGTCTTATTGATGTTTTTATATTTTATTTTTTAAGTTTATCAATTTTTTTTTCTCCGTGCATGTATATACATGTATATGTATGTATTTGTTTCGTGTTGTAGCTGCTGCTGTTGCACCGACTTGACATTGATTGAATTGAGATATTATTTTGTGTTTGTTGCCCGCTGGCTGCAGCCTCTGTGTGGCAGCTGCTGTCGTCATTTAGCTGGCCGCACGATTTTGGGGCTGACGACGCCCCATTGTCTCGCCCCCTCTGCCGGCTGCTCAGCCGGCTGCGTCGCCGTTTAGCATTTTCTTTTTCATTAAGTAAAATATTTGCGTGCTAGCTGCATTCCTATGCCGCGCACGCTCACCTGGCGAGCATAATCAAGCACCGGGCTCCAGCAACAGCTCCAACTCGATGCGGCTCGTCTATCTATCGAACGCTGTCTTTGTCTCCATCTCTGTCGCTGTCGCTGTCGCTGTCTCCGTCTCGGTCTCGATTCGAGCCGGACGTGCGCAGCCTGTCTAAGCAGCGCTCAGCTTAGAATATTTCATTCAATAATTTGGCAACGCGCGATTCGGACGTCAGCGGTCAAATCGCAAAAAAAAAATAAAAATAAAATAAAATTATATCCGATCGAACGAAAGTTTTTAAATGTCTTGCAAATCTTTTTCATTGCAGTCATCTAGCTGAATAAAAAAAATATAAATAAAAAACATATCAATATGACGACCTATATGAAAATATTCGAGGAACGCATCTCCGGCCTGGCCAAGGGTGTGGGTGAGTATCCATCGAGGCTCGTGGCTCGAAGAACAATTTCTAATTCGAAAACCCCCGCTTAGATGAAACTGTGGACAGCTGGTTTCTGATGAGCTCACCAGCGCCCGTTGTTGCTGTGGTGCTCGTCTATCTGGCATTCGTGCTCAAAATCGGTCCGGAATACATGAAGAATCGTAAGCCCATGGATCTGAAGCGCATTATGGTATTCTACAATGCCTTTCAGGTCTGCTACTCCATATGGATGTGTCGTACGGTAAGCACACGTGGCGTATACTTAACGCGATTGAATACAAATCTTTGCATATGATAATAATGATAATGGTGATGATCATGATGATGATGATGATGATGATTTGTTATATCTGTATTGCAGTCGTTCAAGGAGAGCAATGTCATGGCATCGATATTGTCAAAGAAATGCGAAATCCATCGCACACGCGAACAAAACTTGGCTCTGTACTCGGGCGCCTGGTTCTATTTCTTCTCGAAGATCATCGATCTGCTGGACACCACGTTCTTTGTGCTGCGCAAGAAGAACAATCAGGTCTCGTTCCTGCATGTCTATCATCATACGATCACCGTGCTATTCTCATGGGGCTATCTGAAGTACGCGCCCGGCGAACAGGGCGTCATCATCGGCATCCTCAACTCGGGCGTGCATATCATTATGTACTTCTACTACATGGTCGCCGCTATGGGACCCCAGTACCAGAAGTATCTGTGGTGGAAGAAGTACATGACCACCATTCAGCTGATTCAGTTTGTGCTCATCCTTGGCTACATGCTCACCGTTGGCGCCAAGGGCTGCAACATGCCCAAGACGCTGACCTTCTTCTTTGTGGGCAACACGATCATCTTCCTCTATCTGTTTGGCAACTTCTATCGCAAGACCTACCAGAAGAACAAGACCGTCGATGCCAACGGCAATGCCATGCACAGTGGCGGCAGGAGCATGAATCTGGCTCAGTCGGCTCTGAGGGCTGCCGGCGGCATGGGCTGCATGCCAATGCAGACCAAGAACAACAACAACAACAACAACAACGTCGACTATAAGCCCTATATCGATCTGAACAATAACAGCGTGAAGCCCCTGAAGATGGAATGAGCGGTTAGGCTAAGTGCGGGGCTAGCTTTGGTAGGGTTGCTTTGTCTGTAGTTTAATCGTACGTGTTTTTTTAGATCGGGTCTTAAGTCTAGTGTTAAACGTTTATCCATAACCCTTAACTGTACATGAACAACTGAATCTGAATGAGCTTCTTAAATGTAGTTGATGCCAAACAGCAGAAGATTTCATCCAAATACCTAGGCGTGTAAGTGTGTGTGAGTGGCCGAGTGGGTGTGTGAGTGAGAAGGTGCGAGTGTGCGTGTGTCTGCCTGTCTGTGTATATTGCCCTAAGTATTGAAATGTAAACAGCTAATTGTTAATAATTATCGAAAATTTATTTGTTTCCAATTACGTCAATGCTGAACAAAATAAAACAAATATATTTTAACTCATTTTTAGAAAACCCTTTGACTTTTAAAAAAATATATTACTCAAAGATTGGACAGGCTATATTAGCTGAGTGACATATTTATTAACAATTTAAAATGGAAATGGAGAAGTTAGTTAGTATAAAAGTTTTCTATACTCCGTACCTAAAGAGCGAATGGGGTATATTAGATGAATGACACGTTTTTTGGATATGAAAATATGAGCTTGTTTGTACATAGAATCGTTTATAAGTTAAGTTAAGTTAAATTTTCTATTCTTTGTACTCAAAGAACGAAATGGGTATATTGGCTGAGTATGTTTGGAAATGAATATATATATTCGTGTACATATCGAGCATTATAAGTGATCGATATTTCTGATAATTCTGATATCGATACATCAAATATCGATATATATTAATCGGTATATGAATTATTATCTAGTCTTCTTCATATAACTGTCTCATCTCTTTTTTATATATATATATTTTTTGTTCGAATGTGTTCTTGGCTAGTTTGACCTTCGAGTTCTTTCTAACCACCTGACAAACCTGTTGGTCTTCGATATATTTATGACAGCCGCAGGGTACCCCCAAGCCCCTGAAATTCGAAGCCAACTCTGAAATGAGCTCGTGTCAAGCTAAATATCAAATTTATGCAGATCCCAGCAGCTGAATTTCTTTTATTGCAATGATTAATACCCGCACCGAAGACGAAGACAGCGCCTTCGGCTTGAACTTGACTCGCGTGCCTTTTGGTTATGCAATTGTTTTTTATTTCTATTTTGTTTTGTTCTTTATCCAACATAAAAACAGGTTCATTCGGCGAGACATTATGGCGACTCGCAAGAAACACATAATCAACGCAAATTATAAATTCTAATTTCAACTAATTTTTCAGTTTTTTTATTTTGCTACCAGTTAGCCACACCAGTGCAAAGGGCATATATGTTTTATTGTTGCTATCCTCAGCCATATGGATGATGCATAGATAGTTTCTTATTAAAATAGCAAATTCACCCATACATATTTCTATACAGTCGAGTATAGCTACTACAACTACATGAAGACAAGTTTATCCAGAATTTTAAAGATGTGCTCCCTGGCCATGCCTTGGCCGTATAACATTCCATTAATCACTGAATATGCAAATCATCTGAAAATGTCTTTCGAAGATTATGTGCAAAGCAAGCCAGCCGCAAATTCACCAACTCTATCTGTCGCGTTGGTAATCTTTATATATAGACTGTCAATGTATTATTAGACTCTCATTTGTAAGTCAAATACAATCTAATTAAACAGACTCGCGAAATGTAAATTTGAAATATTTTACGAAATTTCAGAACTGCCTTCATTGTGTTGAGATGTGAACCTTAAAATATTTTGATATGTGAAGCATATTGCATAATATGTGTGAGCTCAAGGCCGGAACTTACTATGAATATGTGGTTTGATTTTTTTGGGAATTTCCGAAGAGCTGCAGACTGGGATTTACCCTAGTTGCGACCTTGAGTTCTATCGAATTCCCCAATTCGCTGCAATAAATTCGCCAGCTTTATGTGGCATATATACTAACTAAATTTAGTTTATACTAACCCAAGCTTAAAGGTCGTTAGGTCAAGTGTATCTAGCGCATTTCCAGAAAAAAGATTTTCCCTTGCATACTTTGAGGCGCCATTGAAAATGCTCTGCGGAAAATGAAGTGTGAAAATTTGCGGGCAGAAATCGAAGTTTGTTTATTCTCTGCTTCACAATACAAAGCAATATATGCATAAAAGAATCTAATCTAGATGTATAATTCAATCAACTTGAGTTGCTCAAGCTAGAACAAGTTTGTTTTTTATATTTATGTAAATAATCAAGCCCAATTAAAAACGATTCAAATTGATTATGAGGAAATGAAATTGTAATAAAAAATGAACAAAATTTATATAATTTTTTATTTATTTATTTTTGTTGTTATTGTCATTTTATATTTTCAATTTTAATTTTCATAGACAGCCATCAAATTCAATTAGAGTCCAAAAAAAACGGAATAACGATAACAGTAATAAATGATCTTTAATCTTTAAGCGACCCCAAAGCACGGCCCTGCGCCGAAATCGCCGATAATCTAAACCATATCGAATGCTGAGCGAACGCACACGAAGAGTCAAAGAGACGCTAAGCGCTTGTGGTCAAGATCAAGGCCAAAAGCAGAACCGGCTTAAATGCTACTGTTAGCTAGTTGTTAAGATGCTGCTGCTGCTGCTGCTGCTGCTGCTAATGTTGTTGTTGTTGTTGTTGCTGTTGGCTGCTCTTCAATGTTGCTTTTTAGCTTCCGCTTTGGGTATTAAGGTTCCGTTTTGTTTTGACAGATTGATCGATAAAAGGTTGTGAGAAAAGCTCAGGGCTCATGCGCATCACAACAGCTTACATGTATTCAAATATATTGTATGTGCATATGTGTATGTATATATTTATATTCACGTATGCTTTGTATACGTATACATCTCCAACTGAACTGCTGTCATCTTCAAGGTGAGCCAGAAATGCTTCGTTCTAACATAACAATACCAATATCTGTTCTGCAATTATAATCAGATTCATGAGCTCGTCCAATCTGCATGGCAAGGCACTAATCAGCCTCATGGACCTGTTCTGCCACTCCCCAAACAGCAGACAGCAAACACCAAACGCATACACTCTCATTAGGGGCAAATCTTTTGTTCAGTGCAAAATCTGAATCTGAATGCTTCCGCCCGTCCATCCACATCCGTATGATTTGTTTGAAATTGCAATTCATGGAACACCAGAAATCTGTTTTTGATTTGCTTTGTTTTGTTTTTTTTTTTTTTTTTTTTTTTTTTTAGAAAATTATTTTTATTTGTATTTGTGGTATCTTTTCGTTTAAGCCTAAGTACTTTACATGCCAATAATTCATATATATATTTATTTATATATATATGTATATATCATCTAACATATTTGCTTATGCCAAATGCGTATCTTAACTTATTTACACAACTAATTCCGTTTTATTTTGTTTTTGTTTTTTTACTTAACTTAAATCGGTTTTTTACTCTTCATCTTCTACTTCTTCTTCTTCCCTTCCTCTTCCTCTACTTCTGCTTCAGCTTCTTTAAGCTATTTTGTTTTTTGGGCCGTAAACATACAACTTCTTTCATTTCTGACGTCTAAAGAGGCGTGAGCGAGGGGAAATACACAAACACACATCAAGCGAAGCGATGGCTGCGAAAAGCATTTAAGTGTTTGCCTATTAACTCAAACCTAAAATTTCTCAATATTTTCATTTGTCTTTTTGTTCAGGTTTTTTTTTTTTTTTTCAATTGTTTTCTTCTTATTTTTTGGCGGCGGATTACTTAACAAATTAGTCAACAAAGTTGTGCATAGAACAACGCCCGCTCCATAGACTTAGAGTTCCCAAATATATAACTAAAAAAAAGTATTCTATGTGAATTCCATTAAGTATTTCTGTGTGTGCATGTGTGTGCGTGTGTGTGTGTGTGTGGGCTCGAGATTATTGAGTTAGAGTATTTTCCTAGCTGCCTTACAGCACCTTCTTTTGCTGTGCTGCATTTGTGGCTATGGCGGCATTCAGATTCTTGGCGAAGCTATCGTTGTTGTTGTTGTTGTTGTTGTTATTGTTTTTGTTAGTGATCTCTTTGGCATCAGCCTCGGCCTTGGCCGCCGCCTGCTTCTTCTTGTAGGACTTCTGATAGAAGTCATTGAAGAGGAAGTAGAAGAAGACGGCATTGGGCAGGGTGAAGCAGACGGACCATCTCGGATAGCCGCAGTCGGTGTACAGCAGCTGTGTTTGATGAATGAAAGCGCAGCAGAACTGGATCTATGGGATGATAGACACAATCAGATCAGCTACAGTTTCCAACTCAATCTCCATATATCGCTTACCATTTGCAGGTTGGTGATGTACTTCTTCCACCACAAGTACTTTTGCATCTTTGGCCCGAAAGCCGACAGGAAGTAGTAGGAGTACATGATGATGTGCACGAAGGAGTTGATCCAGCCAATGAAGGTGCCATGGCCGCCCGGATAGTATTTGGAGGTGCCCCAGCTGATCATGGGCATGACTGTGTGATGGTAGACGTGCAGGAATGTCACCTGGCGATCGTTCTTGCGCAGCACAAAGAAGATCGTGTCCAGCAGCTCGGTGATCTTGGCCAGGTAGTAAACGTAGACGACGCGTGCCTCGCGGTACGCCTTGGGTGTACGCGACCAATCGACCGGCTGACAGCGCCAGCTATAATACTGCCAGATGACCACGCCCTCGTACACCATCCAGACGCTGAGCGCCACCTGGAAGAAGTTGTAGACCTGCAGCGTGCGCTCCAGCTTGAAGGGTTTGCGGTCGCGCATAAAGCGCGGACCCCACGACAGCACAAAGTACAAATAGAAGCCCAGAATCGTTAGCAGGGGCAGTGGAGATTTGATCAGAAACCAGTCATTGGTGCGGGGATCTACAACGATAATCAGATTGATGATATACACACACATACACATTATATATGTAGTGATATATGCTCACCTGCCAGCTCGATGAACAGAAAGTTCCAATAGTCCGTTTGTGTTGCATTGACGGCCGCCATTTTTAAATTCGTTTTATTGACTTCCTCTGCTGGTTGTTGTCGTTCTTATTGTCGTTCTTATTTTTGTTTTTGTTGTTGGTGTCTTTAAAGATGCTGTTTGTTTGTGTGAAATTTAAAAATCTGCTAAGCGCTCGAAGCGAACGTGTTTTCGTCCAGTGTTCTGCACGGCGCGTATTTCAAATTAAAAGTAAAGAATAAAAAGAATAATAAAAATTAAAAAAAAAAAAAAAAAAACAATTTAAAAAGAGTTTTGCTTTTGTTGCTATCAAGTTCATAAATATTTTAAGTTATGTTAATGGATAACAAAAAATGAAGAAGCAATCGTAGCTGAAACAATAGCAACACCAGCGACCAGTTGGTCTAACTAGATATTTGGTGCTGTGCTGCTGTTGCCGAGCCAGCATGACTTGGCCAAAAAACAAACAAAATAAAAAATAAAACATAATAATAATCACTCTCTTCTACTCTTGTGGCAATGCAAATTGAGATACATTGACAGATACCCAGCTGGATGCTGTGTGATGTCAACGCTTTGGGCGTGTCTATCAAAGAAACGCAATTCTTTTATTTTATTACTATTTATCATTATTATTTTTTGTTTTTCTTTTTTTACCACAACAAATTGTCGAAAAAATCAGACTGCGCTGCTGAAAGCTGTCGCCGTTTGCTTTGAACTGTTGTTGTTGTAATGCTGTGTGTACATGTGTATGTGTGTGTGTGTGTGTGTGTGTGTATTGCTATGCAATGCAAAATTATCATGTAACCGGAGTAAGAGTAAATTATATTCATTATTATGAATTAAACAAGCGTAGAAAACAAATTGCTTCACAAGATCAACAAGTAATTGGGTGACGCGGCAACAACAACCATAACCACAACAATAACAAATATTTTTTCATTTTCTGTTGGCCATCTAGAGACCGCGATGCTCACGTGTGCGCACAGTGGCACGAAGCAGCAGCGAAACAGCTGTTAAACGTAATTATCAACAGCAGCAGCAGCAGCAGCAACAACAAATGTTAATAATAACTGTTCACTATGTTAGCTGCATTAAGTGGCTAGTTGAACTCCACAAAGGCCACGAAAGTCGTCGTCAAGCGGTTATAAAGTGGCTTTTTGGCTTTTCGGCGTCTGCGGCGCTTGGCTCAGTTCCGTGGTCAGTTTTTTTCACACCAATATTCTGAACCGCTCCGTCATAGAGTTCGATCAATATATACATATGAACATACATATATACATATGTGTATCTATAAACATTGAAGGGCAATGTTGGCTAACAAGCCATAAGCCATAAGCATCGACTGGTTTGCTTTTGCTTTTGGCTTGGCTCATTTCCTGCACTTGTTTGCTTTTGTTGCTATTGGTGTTGCTCTCGTTGCTGTTGTTGCTGTTGTTGCTGCAACAATTAACGCAGAACGAACCAGAAAATGAGCCGCGACCTAGCCAACAGATGGAAGGTGCTAAAAGGCAACTAAAGTCAAAACAAAAACAAACAACAAATGACCAAAAAACTATGCCCGCCTCGCACACAGAATCGGGTTTTCAAATTATCAATTTTGAAAACTGCCAAAAGTCAAATAAACAAATTGACGCGCAAATGAACCATCAAATTTGCGCTTGGCTAATGAACATATGATGCCGCAGAGACCTCGGTTTTTTCCTCTTCTCGGCTTGCTCGCTTTTCGGGAAGCACTTTGGTCAGCTTGGGGCCCCATTCTAAGCAGCTGCTGCTGGATGACTTCAAATAAATCGCATTTCGCTGCGCTCAGCGTTGAGAGATTTTGTGGATTCGCCGCATTTCCACATGGCTAGCCATTTGTCAAAATGGGCTTGGGCTGGGCTTGGGCTTGGGCAGGCAGCAGTTGCTTCGGCGTCTGCGTCGGCGTCGGCGTCTGCGTCTGCTCTTCTTTGGCCATGAGCTGAGAGCTGAGACTAAGGTGAGCAGCAAATTGTGTCAACAATTGTTAACAAACATTTCGTAAGAACCATGCGTCACATATTTAACTTAATTAGTTGGAGGTTCAACTAAAAGTTGAATGGACCTTGGCGTCAACCTATTGACACGCGTATTCCGTATATTTTGCATATGCTTTGCATAATTATTAACTCAAAGCCTAACTTGTGTTTCTTACACTCTTCTCAAATGTATATATATACATATATATATATATATATGAATATCTTTATGTATATACTACAAACAAATCCTGTTTTGTTTTTATTTTTTGTAAGTTCTACACACGCCACGTTCCTGAATAGAAATTTGAATATGTCTCAATGTTGATTGATTAACAAATTCTGTTCATTAGACCATTTTAGAATTCACACTTCATAAACCAAATGTAACTTAGCACGCATTCAAAATGATTTCCACCCGTGGGGAATCGACTCTGGAGCCACTTCTTTAAACACTGGTCAATAAACTTTGGACAAACAGCTACCCAGAGAATTCCTGCTAACTCTCCCATATAAGGCACGACGGCTACTTGATAATTTCTCAATCTCTGAAGTTCTGGCATTTTTCTGCTGTACCACACCGCGACTACTTAATATATGCTGCTTTACAATCTATCTCTAACTCTATTTAAATACCACAATCAATATTAGCTCCCATTCAGATTATTTGTCTAACAAGTATATGCAGTGTATACGCAGATCGTATACAAAGAGCTCGAAAGTCAATCCTAAAAAATATGAAGAAGATAATATAAATGATAAATGCCCAACAACACGAATTCTAAAAGATTTTAACGCTTCTATCACACCACACTGCGGGTACTTGATAAATAAATTCTCTACAATGTTATCTACGATAAAAAATAAAACAATTCCTTACATTTGAAAAAATCCTCTGCAGGAAGGAATTCTAATAAATTATTAAACTCTTTAGTCGTCTACTCATTTAATGAATCCTGAACAGGATAATTTCAATAGGATCTCCTGCTATTGTATTTCTTATATCCTCTCTAAGGCGATCTCTAAACGATCTCATTTTTTTCAACCACATTACACTGCGGCTCCTTGAATCCTGTTCCACACAACACATTATTCTTAAAGCCTTTTTTTTTTTTTTTTTTTTTTTTTTTTTTGGGAAAATCCTCTTTACTTTTGCATATATAGCAATTGTCTTTAAATGTATGTATGTATGTTTCAGCACTGACAAATCCGAGCACAAGCACCTGTTGCAATCTTCTCGGTTGACAGTTGCCTTCTCCAAGACCCGTACACTTAATTTACAGCAACAACAACAACAACAACAACAACAGTGACTGCTCTTAATGCTAACACCATGACAACTGTGATTTTGTTTTTCTTATTTTTATCTTCTTTTTTTTAGATTATCTTTTTTCTTGCTTTGTGTTTTTGCTGTTTTGTTTATAATTATTGGTAATGTTGGTATATATATTAAGGGAGAGAGACCTCTGCTGGCATCCGCTACCCACGAGACTTGTACGCGTACTGAACTGCTACGCCGATTTGTGCGCTGCTATGTATAAAAATTTCGTCTATAGCTTTTAGATTTTTTCTTGTTTTTATTTTCGAAGTTTTGCCGCTAGTTGTTTCTACTGGGCTAGCTGCTGCCAGTTGCTGTTGCTGTTGCTGCCGCTGGCAGTTGCTGTCGCTGCTGTTGGTGCTGCTGTTTGTTGTCGTTGTTATTGTTGTTGTCGAATCTGCTGCTTAAATGTTCTTTTGTGTCGCTTGATTTGCTTGGAAGCTGCGTTTCATTGCGTCGACTGGTCTCGTTTGACTTTTCTATTGATCACACCATCTATTGATCATCATCATCATCATCGTCATCGCCATCATAATGACAAACAGCCTTTTGGCAAACAGCAACAGCTCGACGGCTTTATTGCTGTATGTCTTCGCTGCCAGGTTTGCCGGTTATTGTATTTCAACTAGTTGTTGGCTGAATTTTAATTGATTTTGGCGCTTACGTTTGCAGCATTTGTATTATAATTAATGTTTACCATAATTGTTGTTATTGGCCAGCTGTACAATTTGGTATTGGCCCGAAAGAGAGCAAGCAGCAAGAACTCGAAAACATATTGCGGTACATAATCAGAAATACATAAGCATGCATATATCTATAAATGTATAGATAAAGAGAGTGAGGGAGAGGGAGACAGTAACAGAGGGAAGGTGATTCCGAAATTAAGGTTTAGGTTTTAGGTTTTAGTTTCTAGTTAAGTCTCCTATTTCTTTACTTTTGAAAAAGCTCCCAAACATTTTGTAGGTTTTATGGTTCATCTTCTTAAACTCATCCAGTTAGGGTGAGGAAATAGAGCATAAAAATGAAACTAAAAGAAAAATCTGATATCTTGATGCGTTCAAGGCTAGCTATTGAGTTCTGTTGATTGAGGCTCCATTCAAGGAGACACTTGACCGGGTAAAATACAAATAAAAAACAAAATAACGAAAAACGAAACCAGTCGCAATATTATTATATCATTTTGATAATTTACATATGAATTCTTGGGGCCCAGGGGGCAATTCTTGAGCCGATCGCAATGTTATTTCCGGGTCGTTTCACTTCTCGTTGTTGTTATCTAGCTGAGGCTGGGGTCACTCAGAGTTGAAAATATGCTTAACTGTCACCGGCATATTGAACTTGACCCTGCCTGACCGACACCAAAGGTGAGGTGATCTCTACATTTTTTTTTTCTTTGCTCGCACAGCTCGTCCAGTTTGGCTTGAACTGGTCAATGGTGGCAGTGGGCCAAGATTATCTGATATGTGATAAGCCTGCTGGGCATGATAACAGCTGATGCGCTCGCCTATCAATCATTTTTATCCTCACTCAAACAGAAGACACTATTCAGCGTTGTCTTCCGGTCATCAGATCATTTCATTTGATTTGATTTGTCGCTGCCTTTTGTTTGTCGGCTATCTCACATAACTTTAATGGCATGCAAAGGTTTGTCCATTTGATGTTACCACCGAATTGACGAGGCGACCGCTGTGAGGGCCCCGCGAGACACGAGCCGCTTGCAGGTTATGCAAATATTCTTCCGCAACCATTTACATACGAATAAGAAACCGTTAACAATTATTATTGGTTATTAATTAATAATTGCGATTCTTATAGCAAAAAGAAAACAAAAAGTAATTAAAAACAGAAATACCAAAAGCACAGTCGCAATTAAATGTACATGTTTCTGTGCCTCTTTGTTTGTCGATGATAGTTTTTTTGTTGCTCAGTTCCAAATATGAGAGTGCCAAGTTCCTAGTAATTAAAAAGCATTTATATATACATTTATATATAGTTTTTATACAAATTGCTATTCATTACCTATGGGCTTTCATTCTAGATATACATCTCATACCTTTACAATCTACTTAACTTAGCTGTTAATACTTAAACACTTCATGATTTAAGTGTTACATTAATTAATTACTTAATTACATTAATTAAATTTTTTTTATGGCACGCTTTGCATGGCAGGCCGTTGAGCATTTTAATTCGTAATAAAAAGCTTATTGTTTCGTTTCATTGCGGCTTTAAACAGTTTTTTTAGCTGCGCAGCATTGTCAGCGCCATCTACAGTTCGTTGTTTTACAGCTTGGCTTGAAAGCTTCTGCCAATGTGACCAGCTACTCTTGTTTAAAGTTAAGCGCGGCTTTGTATTCGGTTTCGTTGCTAATGCTAACGCTTTGAAGCTCACTAGTCGAAATGATATTATTTTTTTAACTATTTGCAGTAGGAATGCAACATATTTTGTAAGCTTATTTGATTCTACTTAAAGTTGTCTGCGGTGAATGGCCTTAGGTGAAGTGAGAAATTATGGGATGACAGTGCTAAATTGCGTTAAGCTTGTTCATTGATGGTTTAGGATAAAGTGTATGTATGAATTGTTAAGCAATTATACTATGAACAGTGAGGAAAAGTGAAAAGGCGTATTCCATATTTTGTATGTAGTGTGGTAGCTGAGGACCAAAAGCTCAGCTTGGCTATTCTCTGATAATTCCTACATTACCTTCAAGTTAGCAGATCGATACTTGAGCCCAAAGACTTTAATTAACATAGGAGAAATAAAAAAAAGCTTAATTATTTTTTATTGCTCTCCTAGTCTAGTAATTGAGGTATGAATCAAGTTGTTTATTGGTATAAAAAATGAATTAATTAAAATTGCTATAATTTCTAGCCCTTTAATACCCTGTAAACCTCTGGTGGAGTCAACGAAAATTCCCCTAACAACAACAACAACAAAGCTGTAAATTTTTAGTTGAAAAAATAAAGAAAGGGATTCCCTTAGATTTTAGGAACTTGTTTATGAGAGCTTAACTGAGTTCGCCGAAAATTCATTTCAAAGGTAAAGGTTCTAGACTTACTTATTGTAAATGAGGTGCTGAGCAGAATTGAAATAAATTGATTTTAGTTCTAGATAAATTATTTACTCAATTCAACTCCATACAGACGAGAATACCTGTTTCCATGTGCCCTACAATATATTCATTAGTACATCTATTTTAATATGTAAGCGTGCGTATATATCCTAAGGTCAGTTTGCTACGTCGCGACGTTCCTACATTCTTATCATTAGCCCAGTTTAGTACCAAGAACAAATGTGGCGCAAATCAAACTTGTTTCAAAGCACGGAAATGCCCAATGAACGTATCTATCAGCTTATAACGCGCCGTTTAATAATTTTGCGATCCATCGATCGAGCTAGCCTCAGCACATTTGCGGCTAATCAAAATCAGCGAAATACCGTTGAAGCTCTGCGCGTGCCCTTGCCTAAAACTTGTTTTACGCATTGAAAAAAAATCAGCTAAGAAAAAAAAAGTGAAATATACTTCCGTTTCCTGATCGCGAGCAACTGCTAAAACGCCGATAAACCTACTTACAGTTAAGCAATTTTACTTATATGTATAACAAACGTTTCGTTTCGTTTTCTCACTTAATAAATTGACGCTTAAATGTTTTCTTAATTCTAGTTGAATAACAGTTTGCTTTTTTTTTACTGCCTTGCAAGAACTCAACTATGTCAAGTTCAAGCCAAAATCGACGATATATTCTTCGTCGCGCTTACGTTTAATTATTACTCTGAGCATATTAAGATGGCTAACCAAAAATCTGTTCAAGTTCAGACGTCGAGTCGGGGGCAACTCAAATGAAATAAACTAAAAAAAAAAAAAAATAATTATGAAATAAAAATAAATTACCAAGAACATTTCCAGTTTGTGGCCCAACTATGAGTTAAACGCCGTTTACGATTCTGTCTTCATTTCGAATCTAAACTCGAGGAGATTTTTTTACACACATCGTATGCATGGTATTCTGGGGTTTTTCTCTCTCCCTCCCTCTCTCTCTCTTCTGTCATATATAACTTGTCCGGTTGTTGCTCCGCCGTGACGCGACGCCGCTGTACTTTGGCTGGCCTCTAAGTGAGCGGACTGAGGGGAGGCATACGTGGGGTACGTGCACAAAACTGACGTTGATTCAGACTGTGTGGCATTTGTGAGCGAACGCATATTTGGCCAACTGATTAGCGGACGGAGCCCAACACATGGCCAACACAAGACACTTGGGTACTTAGCCAAATAAGTGAGCGTCCGATGAGTTGGCCATCAATGGATTCGTATGGATATAGTGTGGACTTTATGTGTATTTGGCCTTTTAAATAATGATGTACATCTTCTGCTACTGATTCTTTGGCCCATGCCGTTTGCCTGAGGTGTTGCCCAACTAACTGCTCAGCTTGTGCTATCAATTAGTAACAAAATATGTTTGTCTGCCTGCCAATAAATGAACATAAGCCAAAAGAGCTAACGATTTACAGATGCTCTGTAAAATAAATGTGTCTATTGTGAAGTGATTTAAGAAACTTTTAGCAATTAATTTTCCTTTTCTTTTTTTTGTATTTTTACTATATGAATAAAATCTTATTTAAATTGAAAATAGTAATATTAATCTTATATTCATATAAGCAACATAATTATAACAATCATAATTAATATTACTCAAATATATCATATATATTAGTTTCATTGTCTTTGGCATCGTCTTCTGAGCACCCTCTTTAAAATGCTTCAAGAATACTTTCACCTAGACCTCACACAACGCCATAAGCTTTTATATAGATGCCTTAGCCATCAAAATAAATTGTTTACTTGGCGCGTTGTGTCAAATTATTGCTATGTTTTAAAAAATATTTGCACCGACAGTTGAGAATACATTGTATTTTTATATGCATACATACATACAAGTATATGAAATTATTTCCCGATCTCAAAATCTTGGTATAAAAATTATTCAATCACTCCTTAATAAGTTAGTAGCAGCAGGAAGTACAATTTTTTTTTATCGTAGTCAGAGTAGATACTAAAAAATAATTGTTACCTATGGGATAAACTAAATTGTAGTTAATGCTAATGTATAAGACTTCTATTACTTTTGCTATTGAACTATTAAAAGTTGAGCTTAACACAAATCGTATCATACAAAGCATATTTAATTTAAAAACAATTTAAAGCTAATTACAAATAGTGATCAAGAGAATAAGGTCAAACAGCTCTGAGGAATTCAAGAAATATATGTATTTACATTACTGCTTTATCAATTATTAATAATACCTTTAGTAAACAAAAATAAGCTACAGAAATAAATTTCAATTTCTCAGCATTTCAACCTTTTCCATGACGCTAAGCAAGGAATATCAATGGCGCAACATTTAACAATATATAATTACGCATATATCTGATGATCCGGTTAATAGTAGATGATTATTAAATTATTCAATCGCACAGCACCACAGCAGAGCCTTTCGCAAAAAAATTTCCGTTTATCAATGAACTGAGCAGTGGAGCAACGGGGTTAACGGTACAGTTTGTTGCCTTTGGCTGGAAACCTGAAGCCCACGCCCCTAGCACGTTGTCTTAATTTAATTAGAAATTTATTGACTTCATGAGTGCTTGCTAATTAAAATTATTGCATTTGATACGTTTGCTATTGTATACCCCTCGAAGATTTTGAGAATCTATGGGATATATTGGTTCTGTGATGGGTTCAGTTAGCTTGGATCCGTTTGATTTGAGTTGAACTTTTTTGTTGCCTATTAATTTGTTATTAACTAAGATTTATGGTCTAGAATGTACGATTTCTGATCTCAATTTACAATTTATGATCTACGATCAAGAATATAAGTTCTGCGAGCTGCAATGGAGGATATACTGTCTAGGATCTAAGATCTTGGAAAAAAATCTACGATTAAGAATTTAAGATATGCAAACTGAATTGAGGATATACCGTCTTGGATCTAAGATATATGAAAAATAATATACGATCAAGAATTCATAATCTATGTACCTATGATCTATATTCTAGGATCTCAGCTCTATGAAAAATATTTTACGATAAACAATTTCTGATCTACAATATAGGATCCACGATCTAAAAGGTACTAGGAGTAACGTACCTACGTTTTACGACCTTGAATATAACAGTTTACTGTATAGGATCTTCGACATACGATCTACGACTCCTTATATCATATGTAGAAAAAGCTTTAAAATCTTCCTTTGAAATTTGTTCACATATCGAAGAAATATTTAGTGTATCCAGGGTATCTCAGTGTCTAGCACACTCGAGTAAAGTACTTTTACCTGTTTCTCTTTTGTTGTACTGTTGTTGGGCAACATTGATTTGTGGTATCTATCAATTAAGCCAGTTATTTGCCGGCTAATGACGCTGCACTTTTGGAACGCGACTCACGACGCTGCGCAGTCGCGTTCGTATGTAGGGTATGTAGGGTATACTGAATTTCGATAAATGCGAAATTGAAATGTCTGAAGCCTTTGCCTCACCTTGGCGATAAATCAAAAGCGCGCATCTCCATAGACGAAAATATGTAGAAATATATAGAAACATATATGAATTATTATTGGTGGCGTTTTGTCATGGTCTAACTGGAGCTATGCGACGGCGGTAGCTAGATTGTTTCAGCGCGTTTATTTATCACCAATGTTGGTCAGCTGTTTTGGCGGCTCTATTAACTTCCGTCAGCCGGTAACACGCCAAGACCTAGACCTAGACATTGAAAATAAAGAAATACGCAGAAAAAAAAAACAACAAAGTAAAACATACCAACAACAAAGCCGGTTGCAAATCCGGCTCATGCAAAAAAAGAGAGACGATGAGTCTAAAGCCTTAGACTAAATCGTGCTGATTATGAACACCGTTAGCAACAGCGACCAGTGCAATGCCATCCTGCTGCCATTGAGTCAGAGACGCTGCGACGCTGGCCAACATGGCCAAAACAATCAAATGGCAAAGGTCAAGCGCACTTTAAAGAACAATTTCGGTCGTGTTAATTTGTCGCACTTTGATTCTTTGTAATTGTTTAGCTTAGCTCTCCAGTTGCTCGCCATTCGTCAATTGTTGTCGCACGCGCACACCTCAATGGCATAATTAAGATACATTTTCATTTTCATTTTTGTCCATTTACATTGAGACATGCACATAAATATATATATACACACATGTGACAAACCCGATCTCGACCTCGTCAATTTTAATGCTGCACGTCCGCCCTGGCAAGCTACGGCATGGCTACACTCTATATACATATGTGAAGGGTTTTGCGTTCTTGTAAACAAGACTCTACTATCTTGATATGAAACCTTTACAGCGACGGAATGCCACACACATGCACACACGCGCCAAGAAATAAAAAACAGGCTTTAGGAGATCGAAAGATCGAAAATCTAGAAGATATGAATGGACAGCCAAAATTTATAATTAGACTTGATCTAACAAAAGCGACAGCTGGGGAATGGCTTATATTATGCGAATTTCTTGTTTTCAGTACACTCTCTGCTTCTTCTTCTTATGTCGTCTCATACAGTTTTTGCTTTGGATATAAATAAGTAAAAACAATCAGCTGAAATTTTGGGAAAACAACTTAAATCATTTCATTTGCAATTTCTTAGCCTCTTTCAGCAATGTCGCATGACACAGCAAATTACTTTAGTTCCATAGTTATTTATTGGTATTTACATGATTTGAGCCTGTTTTCAATAGGACTCTAAATCTTTATCGTGTTTTAAAGAAAACATCCAACAACATTAAGCAGCAGCTAATTTATATTCTAAATACAATCTTGAAGTAATCATATAAACAACACTGGCAACAAATTTGATGGTTTTTCTGTAATCAATAATCAGATAATTTAATTTCTAAAGGTCATTGACGTGCTTAATCTCAAAAACAATTTACTAAACAGTAAAATAAGTCTCGATTCTACTAAACATAGTCTCCTCTCTTAACAACACTGTAGCTCAGATGATATATCGATGATGACTCAAGAGTTTTGCATATAATATTGAAGAGTTTGAAGTTTGTAGGAGAGACGTTTTACTGTCATCTACCGCAGATAGATCAGATATCAAACTGACCTTATATTATTCGACTAGTATTCGACTGGAAGACGGCAAAAACTGTGCAAAAGGTTTCATTTTCCTTTTTCTTCATTATTCAATTCTGTCTATCTGTTTAAGCAACTAGTTTAGTTTGTCTATCATTAGAGACTGTTATTAATAGGACCACCTATAAATGAAACCAACTACGCAACTATTAACAACTATATATATATATAATATATACACTTTTGTCACGCAGATCAAATGTATATATAAATCACCAAATATAGAATGGAATAGTTATGAATATGCATTTAACCTGTTTCTGAATGTCAATAATTAATTAATATTTAATGATTTTTTAGTGTGAAACTTAACCTAGGCAAAGTAACTAGTTGTACCTGTGGCGTAATTAAATAAAACAAAATTAACCCAATTTTCAATTTAGACTTAAGAACAATACAATTTGTTTAAAAAGAAAAAAAAAAAAAACATTTTAATATAAAATAAAATATATAAAAGAAAGTGAATTATTTATATGCTTTTAAAATATTAAATGCACTGTTTTAAACAAGTTTTATATGGTTAGTGACTATTATTATAATTATTATTATTATATATTTTTTTTATATTTAGCTATTCCTGAGTAACAATTTAAATTTAACATTAATTATATTTAAAAAAAAAAATACTCCTAAAATTATAGTTTTGGTTTCAATCCAAGCTAAACCAAAAAAAAAAAAATAAATAAATAAATAAAAATTAGCTCAGAAAAAATTATAGTTTTAATTATAATTTAAGCTAAGCAACAACTGTGTCAAAAAAAGGAAACAAATTTCAAAGTTATTAATAACATGTTTAAATTTGTTAACACAATTTTATAATGTTTCATTATTACTGTATGTATTATATTATGTTAAACAAATTCTTTTTTATTGTTCGCTAACGCGAAAAATATAAAAATTTTATTTGAAGAAGTTTTTTATTATTTATTGTATTGAAGTGAAGGTCGCAGACGTTGTAGTTTATAGCGAAACTAGTTTATGAAGACCCACCCCTTGTCGCACAGTGCATTGACCCATAAAACAAATAAAACTGCAATCCGCACTAGTGATATAAGCCAAGCTTGTAATTTGAGAACAGCAACAGCAACAGCAACAGCAACAACAACAACAACAACAAGTGCAAAGCTGAATACTTTTCGGAACTTGCTAAATCAGCTCACACCAAAGCGTGCGCTCAGTGGGCCAATCGAAGTCGCACACAAACACACGTACACACACATAATAAGAAGCGCGCTTGGAGGCAAGCAGAAACACTTACACACACACACACACACACAGACATACATACACACAAGCACAGATAGATACATACATACAGTTGGCAAATTCAACGAAACTTCCGCCGTTCTGTGCGGCTGTTGAAAACGTTCGTTAAGTTTTTTAAGCTTAGGCCAAGCCAAGCCAGCCAATCTAAGTGTGTTCGTGAGTGTCTGCCTATGTGTGTGTGTGTATATGTGTGTAGACTAGGGTACATACCCGTGCTACTTGCACAGCCGCTGCTCGCGTTAGCGTCGCTGCCGGCGCTGCTGCTAAAAAAACTTACTTTATCTTGTGATTGCTGAGAAGTTTTAGATTCAGTTGAGCATAAACATTTCTACGGTGCGGTTCAAATTTGGTGGCTAAGAGCATCAAATGCGTTGCAGTGCGTGCTAAAAAGATCAAAACGAGAACTTCAATCAAATATATAATATATATATATATAAAGTGCTGTGCATTTGAGCCCCGTTGGCCAAAAGTTGAACGCAAATCGAGCCAAGTGACAGCATGAGGTTAGCTGCTAACAGCTAACAGTAACTAAGAGGCCTATTTATTTCTACACATATATATATTCATATATATAAATAAGTTACATACCTAGTATCACTGATCTTGCCTGATAATCTACACTGCTACAAAGATGGCAATGCAATATCACAACTACAACAGCAGCACGCGCTTCGAGATGGTCGTCGAGATCGCCAATATAGCACTGGATGAGTTTAAGACCCATCATCTCAGTCGCAACTACACGGGCCTCGTGCAGCGCTACTACCAGCTCGTCGAGGAGGATTACGGCGGTAGGTGTACTAAAGCGAACGACAAACGCAATTTGGCCGTTGGCCATAACGAATGTGGGCTAACAACAGGGGGAAATATGTTAATTCGAGCAGCCCTCGGCAGGTGTCTCAGCTGATGTCATTGTGGTGCGGCTGTCAATCGATCGAGTGAGCTTGTCCGGGAAGTTGAAAACTCAAATTCCAAACCATCTCAAGTGCTGCTGCCAGATTACGCTCTAAACTACATATGAAAAGCATAAAGCCCAACGATGATTTGCCATTTTGAGCAACACCGAAAATTGGCAAAAGCAAAAACAATAATGCAACAACAACAGCAACAACGTGAAAAAAAAAACAAAAACAAAAACAAAACAGCCAAAAAGAAACTAAAAATACCAAATTTACTTCTAGGACAATTAAAAGAGGTTTCTTTTGTGTATTTAATGGCGACCTTGGCAATGCCAATTGTTTATGTATATATACATATATATTCATCAAATATGTATACGCATATTTTTTGTGTTTTTTTGACAATTATTAACGTAATTAAAATGTATTTACATAGTTGATCTTAAACATTTTGTTTTTACGACGCGACCGTCGACGTCGACGTCGACGTCGTCGTCGTCGTTGTCTTTGTCTTTGTCGACGTCTCGTTGTTGCTTGTTGTGTGTGCAGCTGAGCATGGTACAGCACATACAATACGTGTGTATACATACGCATCTACAACAACTACAACAACAACAACAATGATAATAACAATAACATTGGCGAAGATGATGCATGTGCCATATGTACTTACAATACGATTTACGTACATACATATATGCTCATTAACTTGCCTTCCTATACTTAATTTTTGTTTAATGTACGTATATATAGTTTTTTCTTAGGTTTTCGTTTTCGTCTTTCGTTTTCGTTTTCGTTTTCGTTTTCAAAACGTGTTCGCATTTGCCCCGCATATTGACATTCTTGACTGCCGCGAGCGGGTGAAAAGGTCAATGGAAGGTAGCAGCAATTAAAAGCAATGCAAATAGAGTATATAGACGCTAGCTGGGCCATGCGCATATACATATATATATATATATATGGAAGCAATGAATGCGAATGCCAAAGATTTGCAAAAAAACAGCGAAATTAATTGAGGAAAACAAATTTATAAAAAATCAAAACAAAAGACTTAGAACACAAACTTGCTGGGACAATGTAAATTAATGATAGCAAAAAAGTGAAATAAACTAAATAGTAATGAGAAGAGTTTAAGGAAGAAGAAGAGAAGCAATATATATCATTTCATATATGTGACATTTGAAAATGAATAGAGATACAAACTTAGTTAAAGACAAAAACATTGATATGGGAAAAAATGTAAATTTATCGATATGTGCGAATGCGGATACTTTGAGATAGACAAATATGTAAATGGTGTTATAAAGATGTAGTGATAAATGAATAAAGATGCGATATAGAGAAATATTAAAAAATCAATATACACAATATAAAGATACAAATATGTATATGTGCATATACTGATAACGGATAATGAATATATATAAGATGATGCATGTGCCATATGTACTTACAATACGATTTACGTACATACATATATGCTATATATATATAGTACACATCTAAGTATACTACATATATAACGACAGATATATATATATAGAGAAATAAAGTCCTAATAACTTTAAATGTGAAACAAATGGCTTCTAAATTATTCCAATATTATATAATTATTATTATATATTATATAATACATATGTCCATATACAAACATGTTCATATATATTTGCATATTTGTGTATAATACAGCTCCGACTCCAACTGGAAAGCAGAAGTTGAAAAGCCAACACTAATTTATTTAAAATTCGCCAATAATTCGCATTCATAATGGACTTTAAAGCTCTTTCATAGCAAATAGATAACAGAGCGCATAACTCTTCGCGCTTTCGAGATTCCTAAGCATATGTAAATTGGAGCTGACAAAGAAACAAATGTTCGATTTTGCTGCCTTCGAACTATCCATTTAGTGAGTAATACAACGTTTCATGAAATGTCAATGCAGAAACAGAAATCGCATGTAATTTAAGGAATTTAAATCAATAGGAAAAGTTTTACAATGGAAAATTTGCCGCCAAGTAAACAAAAAATTCCTGTGCTCCTGCATATATTCATAGTGGAATATTTAGCTGTTATATCAACAACACATTCGTAAATGGGCTTCACTTGCAATGCAATAATTAATGCGATCTATGACGACATTGCCGGACTCTGTCTGCTGTCTTAGCTAAATCAGTTATAGTAAGTCCCGTATAGTTCCATTTGAGTTCGACTAGAAATTCCGGTTTAGATTAATGCGCTGTTGATATTGTTGTTGATATTATTATTGTTGTTGTTGTTGTAGTTGTATTATGTCTAGGGCCCTAAGTATACCTATTGAGTAAACAAGATAATTGTCCACTTGAACCGAGCATTACACCTCAATAGAAGCGAACACACACACAACGAGCCGGCAAATTGTGTTTAGGTTTTATTTTAGCTGGCCACGATTTCATTCATTCGTGCAAATTGGCTGCTGGCTTCTAGATTGAATTCGTATAGCTAATTAAATGCCATTGACTCGACAAAACAATTGGGAATAGATAAATATACAAATGAATTCAAATTGGCAACAAATAATAATACGAATGATTATATATATTCATATATGATTATATAATATTTTGATCATTTCATTTTTTTTCCGTACAGATCCTCGTGCAGAACGCTTCCCGCTTATGGAGCATCCCCTGTTCACATTCGGTCTGGTTGCCATTTATCTGTCCTGGGTGCTGGTGCTGGGGCCGCTGTTCATGCGAGATCGCAAACCCTTCCAGCTGCGCCGCACACTCGTCATATACAATGCCTTCCAGGTGCTGCTCAGCGGCTATATGTTCTACGAGGTGAGTTCTCGCCTTCGCCCACACACGGAAGCAACTCCAATTCATAAATATTTCATTACTATTATTCACATTTGTGCTCTTCATTTTGCAGCACCTGATGGCTGGCTGGCTGAACTATTATAATTTGAAGTGCCAACCGGTTGACTATTCAGATGGACCCATGTCCAAGCGGGTAAGAGATACGACACATTAAAGACGAGTCTTAATTTGCAAATTTTAGACTCGTTAATAAATGGAGTCCGTGGACTGAGCATAATCTTAGCTTTAAAAGATCTTTAAATGAAACTTGTTTCAACTGGCTTCAACAAATTATCAGATTTTGCGATATTCGCGAATATTTTTATGGGACAAGTTTCGCGAGACTATACATACATATGCACCTAGTTAGAATTTAGATTATATATTTAAAAAATATAATTCAATAGTCACACGCAAATCTTCTTCTGATCAAAAGTTCTGTATCAAAATTCAATTTCTATCAGGAAGCGCAAATTGGGCGAGTATTACGCAGTCGCAACGTCTGTCTTAGATTATGAATATGCAGATATATATGATTTCAATTTCATTTAGCTTCACTTGTTTTGTTGCTTTTGTTGCTGTTGTTGTTGTTGCTGCTGTCTGCGCAACAAGTTCGTTGGCTCTGGATGAGTCACGGCCCCCAGTTGAGCTTCAAGTTCAGACTGGAGACTATTTTTGACCAGTCATGTGGTTAGTTTTTTGTTATTTGTTTGCTGGCAAGATTAGCGTAATTATGACGTTGCCAAAACGCTGACTCGAGTCCAATTCAATTGAAGGCGTCTCGGTTCTGGACTAATCAACAAATGGACATTTAGTTACGCCTGTCGATCTTATTGTTTTTCTTTTTTGTGGCCTGTCAAAACTCTCAAGCCATTCAAAAAGCATTTAAATAAATAATAAGCTAATAAGCTATTTCAGCTTAAATGCATAATTTGCTAACAATTTCTGTAAGCCATAAAACCGAAATAGCTGCGTTAAATTTTACTAAAAAGTGCAACAAACTCGAAGCTCAACAAAACAAACATAAACGTACAAAGCCAAGGCTTTGTTTTTTTTTTTACGTGTGTTTCTTATGCTCGAGCTGTCGAATTAACAACGTTTGTCTAAAAAGATAAGCCCACTTTTTGCTTTTGTTCGAGCCGCAAATCAATGTGGCCCATAAAATTTGGTCCAAGTCATAAACTTGGCTCAGTCTTACAAGCTTCAGCCCAAATAGCTAATTCTTCACACGCTGATAGATTTGACATCCGCTTAGAAAGAAACGAGCGAATTGCGATATATTTTACATTTATGTGGCATTTGGGTTTGGGCTTGTTTACATTGCGCATACGCCGCGTGAGCCACACGAAAAACCATGCCAGACATGACAAAATTCTTGACCTGCAAATGGAAGATAAACGAGTCAACATAACCTTGCCATTAGCTACGAATCAACTTACTCACCCTCCCTCCCCCCCTCTCTTCCTCTCTCTCTCGCTCTCTGCAGATGCTCAATCTGTGCTACATCTACTATCTGTCCAAGCTAACCGAGTTCGCAGACACCGTGTTCTTTGTGCTGCGCAAGAAATCATCGCAAATCACCTGGCTGCACGTCTACCATCATTCGGTCACCCCACTGGAGACCTGGGTGCTGGTCAAGTTCCTGGCAGGTGAGTAAAGCCACCAAACAGTAGCAACAGCTAAGACTGACTCCACTTACTCCTAACTAACTAAAGGCGGCAATGCGACATTCCCCAATCTGTTGAACAACTTTGTGCATGTGTGCATGTACTTCTACTACATGATGTCCGCCATGGGGCCGGAGTACGCCAAATTCCTCTGGTGGAAGAAATATATGACTGAGCTGCAAATCGTAAGTATCGCCGCGTCATTATCAAAGATCTGTTCCAGCACAGTTTCCACACATTTAATATATAGATATAGTAGTATAGGTACATATATGTGTAACTATATAGAAACTTGTTTAGAAGTTTTGTTTTAGCCGCATGGCAAACCTGTTAGACCTGACCGCCAGCAAATGCGATTGCCAAAATATCAAAAACAACAAAAACCACAACAACAAAAACGGCATTACTTAATGCTTCTAACTGTGTCTTGCAACTGGCCAGGCCAAGTGACACTCAGCTGCAAGTGGAAGTGGTTTGTGCTTAACACAAACACACACACACACACATACGCTCATAGACATGGTCCAAGTGGCTGACAGACATGCAGACTGCCTCAGCCTCTTAGCCATAGCTTGAGTCAAAGGCCAAGTTAGCAGATTTGCAGTATTTGTTGCTTTATGCTTGTTCAATGAGAGTGAGAGCGAGTCTATTGGGTCTTCAGTTTGTACAGCTGTGCATACTTTGGTTGGGAAACATAAAAATATAAATAATTATACTGCAATACAGCTACTTATGATAAGACGATTGGATTCTTATTGGCAGTTTGGAAGAGACAAATTATAATTGACAGTAAAAGTTGTTCCCATTTTTTTTATGGATAATTATGGCATATATAGGAGTGTACATCTTTAAAAGTTATATATTTCACACTAAAAAAATATGTCATAGTATTTGTTGCCATTCAACAATCCAAATTGGAATTGGAATTATTTTTTGGCTATACAAATAATTCTCATTTGTTATGGATATTTATGGCATATGTAGGAATATCCATCATACAACAGTTATACAGTTGACACTAGGAAAAAATGTCATAATATTTCTAGCCATTTAACAATGTATTGCAATTTGAATATATCCATTGAAAGGACGAAGGACTTTAAGAGTCATATCTAGATCTATATTCACATATAAGTAGAAAAACTAAGTAAAACATACAAATAAGCACATGCCAAGGAGGGCGTGGCAAATCATAAGATAACTATATTTCTAGAGCCCATTCAGTATACCAAAGACTCTAGCTCATCTCAACCTCGCTGCATTGCAAGAGCTGCCATCAGATATTTCCGACTGATGCAGCCTGAGCGGGTATGCAGCAGTTATTAGCATTGTTTCGATTAGTTCTATTCGTGTTTGGTTTTTGTTGTCGTGTGTCTTGCATAATTCGTGTCCGTTAAGATCATCGAGTTCATTGCGCCGTTTGTCACTTTCGTTCGTTGCGAACGCCCCAGCTCCGTGTGTTCTACGACCTGCTCAAGAAACAACGACAACTGTTAATATTCAATATACAAAATTCCTAAAAAAACAAAAAAAAAAAAAAAAAAAAAACAACTATGCTGACCAGTTAAGTGGGTTTCATTTTCAATATTTTATTTTGTTGTTGTTGTTGTTATTGCTGTTAAGTTGAAGCTTGATTTTACTTTCAGCTTTAGTTTTAGATTTCAATTGGCTTTGCGGGTCTTTCCGTTTTCTCAGTGGCGATGGCATTTGCGCCACTCCACTGATTATCCACAGGCAGTTTCTCTATATATATATATATATATAAATATATACATACATGTGCATGTAATTGAAAGACCAATAGACAAACATACCCACACACACACACATATGGCATGGCATTCGACTGCAAATACGTTTTCATGGCAGTATTTCAATGTTTCGAAATTCTTGAAACGCATAAAACTTGGCGAGTTTTCGTTAGTTCTGCTTCTGTAGTTAGTTGTTATTGTAGTTGTTGTATTATTGTCGCTGGCCTGCTTCTAAGTGTTGTCGATGTGTGCGTGTGCGTCGCCTTGAGATTCACTGACTCTCCACAGTTGACTTGTCAAACGTTCGTTCGCTCATTGTAGATGCGCGCGTGTCACGACACGCACACGACATTCATATTTCTTACTATACACAACTATCGATCCTGACCAACTGGCTAACGAACTGGCTTAACCCAGGAAGTGAACTGCAGCTAATTGGCATGCCATAGTTAATTGGCCTTACGCATTGGCCCAAACATATTGTAGGTGTTTGCAAAAAGGTGTCAATTATAGGTAAAGAATGAATTTATTAAATATGGACATATTTTTTTTGTTGCTTAATTTGTTTGTAAATAGTTTCACACTTGTCTGTCGGCCAAAAAATTTAGAAGTGCAAAATATTTTTTGAAAATATTTGCTTTCTAGAAGAATTCTAGAAGAATGTATAGGAAATTTTTTTTTACAAATGTGAAAATATTGCTTAAAAGTAATTTATTGCATAGTCTTGCAATTTAAAATAATTTTAAATATTTTTGCATGTTAATAATATTTTGATATGTTACTAACAATTAATGAATTGCATAGTCTTACAATTTAAAATATTTTTAAATATTTTTGCATGTTAATAATAATTTGAAATGTGTTATTCCTTTTTTACTATTTTTTATGTTTTACTAAACTAAAGAAAAGGTTTTTATGCTCACGTCTATAAATGCGAAAATAATTTATTTTCAAGATTTTTTACGTACTAGAATATTTTATATCAATATTTCCACACACACATATATAAAAATATATTTTTAAATATAGAAATTTTAAATACGACTCTTTGAGAAATCGGCCTACTTAAGTAAAATTTTGTATATATTTTAATACCCGCATAAGTACTACTTTTTAATTAAATAAAATTTAATATATGCTTATATATACACTTTATGCGTAGAATTTATATATATATGACATTATATAAATTTTAATCCTTATTAAATTTTATTCGCTGAGCGTTATTCGTCTCACTCTAAATAATTTTAAAACATTTGTAGAGGTTCACATTATCTAAAAACTCGCCATATATTCTCTGATATATATCAAAAATTGTTAATAGTTATTTTTAAATATCTCTGAAAACAAATATTCTTTATTGTCTTTATAATAAGATTAGCTTTTTACTGAGATTTCATCGCTGATAAGCTTAGAATATTTTAATATTCATCACACAATCTACTAGATCCTACGTTCTCAGAGCAGTTCAGCTCAATATCTATTAAATCAGCATATCGTATGACTGAAATCTTCTTGCTTGATATCTAGAATCTGCGTTTATAGCGCTAAATAGATTTGAAATTCTGATAGAACTTGTCGCAGTCGTGACACGCCACCCGCTCAGCTCCAATGCACAGAGCTGCAAAATCCACCTTAGACAAGCTTCTACATACGCTCGTCTATACATATGCATATATATAAATACTTATATAGTATATGGTATCTACATATAGACATACGCCTCTAGCTTAGCTCGATTCTTTCAGCGCTGGTTGACATTTCATTATTGCAATGAGACGGCAATCAAATGCAAAGTGCATAGACAGATAAACATGGGCGCATCGGTCGCATAATTTGGCAGCCACTGTTGCAGCAGTTCCTCGGCTAACCACAAAAGCAAATGAAACACAATCGAAAATAGCACACACTCCAATTTGGTAATAGACGAACAAGTTTAAGTTCCAATTAGCCAACGCTGGTCACTGCCGCCGTTGCAGCCACCACAACAACAAATAATAGCAACAAGAGCAGCAGCAGCAGCAGCAGCAGCAGCAACAGCAACAGCAGCAGCAGCAACTGCTGTTGCTGGCAGCTATTGCCCGCTCTAGTTGCAACATCCCAGTGTTTTCGGCCGCTGCGCCAATTCCACAAATTGCCACATTTCAGCTAGCTGCGATCCGACCAGTTTCGATTACATTATCTTTGGCTTGGCATTCGCCATTTGCCGCCGTGTTCCGTTTTGCGGCAATGAATGCGCCGTGCTCTGTGGCGGCGGACAGCGTTCACTTTTATGCTGCCGCAGCGAACTTGCCACACCATGCGCAAAGTCTATGCCACTCCATGTACCACTATAGAGGTGTGTGTGTGTATGTGTCTGTGTGTCTGTGTGTGTGTGTGTGTGTGTGCGCGCTTGCTTATGGGTAAAAGTCAACCGGCAATTTGCCACTTTCAGTTTCCAGGCGCCTGTTCACATTGCAAGTGCAACTGCATTTTTCATGTCTGCTGCCCCACAGAACCCGCTCGTTGTGCAACCAATTGTGCAGATGACGCCGGCGCCATCGTCATCTGCACAGCTGCCCCAGCCACAGCTGCCACAGTGGTATTCAAATCCAAATTCCTAACAACTCAATTCGTTTCTTGGTGCATTTATTCAATTCTAAATCAAAGCAAAGCGAGTCTGACAGCTTCCCACATTCAAACACTCTACTGCTCTCTATTATAAAGAAAAACTTTACAAATGATTTATAGCCCAATTGAATTATGCAAAAAGCAAAGAGTAAAGCAATAAATTCCCATTTACAGTATCAAATCTTCAGAAATAAGGAAAAAATCATTTTCATTGCAATGGCCCACGGCAGAGCTCTTTAAGCCTACAGCTCTATAAGACTATTAATAAGAAATATTTATCAAATTACGGAAAATAATAATAATAATGAAGCAAGCACTTAGGCTAGAAAATATTTCAAAGAAGCTTCAGTAGATTTTTAATTATTTCTATCTCTTATAAGAGGGATAAAAAATAAAAACTAATCTCTAAACCTATTCAAGCTCCTTACCAAGAACTTTCAGTTACCTTTGTAATAAATATAATTTTTTATTATATTTCCTATTAGTATACTTAAAGCCCATATGATATATATAAAAAAAACCCTTTTGCTCTCTACTGCTGTTTAGTTGGTCCATAAATAGATCTATAGGTCAATGGTAGCCCATCCATGAAAGGATATGCTCTACAGCTCTAAAACTGTAAGCGATAGAGCTTTGATTGATTACCCTCTAATAATCAAAGCTCTGTCTATTATACAATATAATGTATCTGGATTTTATATATTCACATTTTTCCCCTTCCTATTTTGTTTAAACATGATAATAATGTAATCTAATTAAATGTAATATTTACTTTAGTTTAAAATTTAGTGCAAATATCATTCCTTATACTGTTCTCTACCTACCTTAACGCCTTTAATTCAATTATCACTTTTATTCAACTTATCACTCAATCGTCTGCCTGGTCCTCCAATGCTCCCGGATGAAAAACTGCAACTTCTCTTCTTGAGTGTTCACACCTCAGCTTCAATTCGTACTTACTTTTATGTCTCTAGATCAAAGAATAGCAAGCCCAGCTTGCACATTAAATGAGCGCATCTAGGCACGAGCAGGGGAAGAGGGATCATCGAGAGGTCGACACATGCTCGCTCCTGAAACAACAACAACTGCTCTGTACACTTAGTACTACTTCCTCACGTATACAAAGTCAATTTATTAACCTATATAACTTCTTAACCTATATAACTGCTTAACCTATACGACTTTAATTAAATCTATTCAGACAGAGCGACAAATAGATGGGAAAAACAGACGTACGCCTAGCTAGATAAATGTAGCACACTTTGTAAGCGAGCAAAATGCTAGGAAATTGTATTATTTAAAAAACAGTTATAGTGCAATTACACTTCATACTTTCATATTTGGGCTAAAATTTCGAGACATCAATTTTGTATTCAAATTTATATATGCATATATTATTATATTTATATATGATCTATAGATATAAATCCAAATTTGACAGCTGACTAAAAATTAAAAAAAAAAAATTAAATTTGCATATTAATTTATTTAGCCAAATTTTTGTACATTTGGTCCAGTTATTTTTTTTCCATAGCCAAATAACGAGATTTCTAGCTGAACTCTCTCATTGGCTTTAAATACCAAAAATTTGAGCTCAAGTTTCTGACTGGAGTTTCGTGTCTGCTGAAGGTCGCTGCTCTAACAGCTGCTCAAGAGCAGTTGACTAAGTATAGAGTCTATCAAGTTATAAAAGATATCGCAATAAGGCCTTAGTATAATAGAAGTATATATAGAAGATATATATGTATATAATGTAGTTCAATTTGCTAGTTAACTGTAGTTTAACATTTAACTACAGCTCTCCTAAAAAGTTCCTTAAGCTTTGATTCGAATTTTCTCTGCAGCATAACTTTTCGATTCGCAATAACTGTTTTCTATCCGCTTTCGTTACATATGATACATAAATATAGATACATATATATAAGAGAGATCCATTTTCTAATTAATTCCAGTTTAACCTTAACGTTCTTTAGTTTTTCCAATAATACAAATCTCTTCTAAAGCATATCTATGCAATTCTCAATGATAATTTTCTAGCCGCTTCCGTTTTTCTAAAGGCCAACAATTATCCGTACTACGTTTGACTATGCCATTCTTTTCATACAAAAGCCCACCGTGCACTCAAATGCACTTGTACAAACAGACATACAAACACACACACGTACACACTCACACACAGCTATGGACAATTGAATTGGCGTGTGTAATGAAGCATTTAAGTGTTGATGTATGCTTGAAGCCAAAATCGTAGTTGGCCAAAACAAAAACGAAAAAAATCGAGTGGTTTTTTTTTTTTTTTTTGGCCAAGCCAACTACTGGCCCACTGCTGTGTGGCAGTGTTTCGTGTTGTTGGCTCCGCTGACTTTGCAGCGCTTTGTGGCGCTGTGTTAATGGAAACTTGCAGCGCTTGGTTGACCAACAACATGTGGCTCGTTCTTTGTAGGTCATAAAAAAAAAACGCAACAGAAGCAAAATATATCTAAAACAAGAGAGTAAAAAAAAAAAAATAATAAACTGGGCGGTTGGTGGGCGTGTGCCGTGCATTCGCTACGGTGATGCCTTCACGACGCTTTAGCTAATAGAAATATGAATATGCATCAATCAGTTGACTGTTAACAATATCAATAGCAGCAATCTTAATTGGTGGGCAGCATCGTACGCAAACACTCACGGGGTGTCACCCAAAAGGTCAATGGAAGCAGCTATCGAAAGACTTAAGCAACGAACTCGCTAGACACTGCCACGTCAAAGTCAGCGCCAGACAAGCAGGCATTGGGCACACTTAACTACCTATCGCATAACAGTTATTAACGCAAATTGCTAGATCAAAGTGTTTCTTAATGCTGGCAGATATATGTTATAGAAGAGATACACTCGAATAAATAACAGTCTGGTTATAAAACATATTGTTTATGGGACAGCTTATGGTTATTCTTTATAGGTTTTGGCATTCAAAAATTGAGTGAACTTGATTTCATTTGAATACCTTGTACTTGTTGAAAATGGGAGTCATACAGGCCATGGCATATCCATGGCATATATAGATATATATAGATAGATATATAGATCATATATATACATATTCAACATGAATGCATAAAGTCCTCTCGATATATTTTAAACTCTAGCTATTTTGGCATAAGCTTATAACTTTATCATTCGCTAAAGTAAGGATGTCTGCTAGTCAGTCACTCCCGACGAGATTCGCGACAGTTGGGTGATTAAACAATAGCAAGAATTTAGAGATCGTTTGCATGCAAATAAAAAAAAAAGTGTGGTTATTTATATTCTCTGGTTGTCGATAGCAATCTATACTTTCACTTGAAGACAATAAAAGCTAAGAGAATTAAATTTACCACTTGGATATGTATGATGCAACCAAATATACATATATATCCATAAGAAATCACCCATTTGATAGCACCAACAACTCAGCTGAGAGTAAGGGTATCTTCTAGTCAGTCACTCCCAACGAGAGTCGCCTCAGTTGGCAGTTTAAACAATGACAAGCACTTAGAGATCATTTGCATGCAAATCCAAAAATGTCTGGATATTTCTTCCAGTGTATGTTTGCTTGACAATAAATAGCTAGCTAGCTAACTGAAGCTGCGCTTGCGAACGCATTTTGATTGCCATTGCCACGCTCAAGGGTGATTATGGTCCATGAAATGCGCAATTTGCCATTTGATTCTCATTTCGCGAGCAATTAAAATACTGCGGGGTCTGGCTATGCTCTCAGGGCTAACATTAGATGACTTGATGTTTCTTAAGGTGAAAGCAGCAGCAACTCAATTAACTTGATATGACATATAAGAGACATTAGCAGCAATAATGTGGTTTAATCTGAATCTATAGTATATATACATATATATAGCTAGATATAGATAGAGGTTTATAGAGAGAGCATAAAGCAGGGGGCATATAAGTTTTAGCATTTTAGTAACTATTTCATTTACAGTTCTCCTTCAATTACTATACAGGCCACGCCCACGATTTCAGCTTGCATTGACAAATTCTCACTATAGAAATTCCCACTATAGATGACATTTTGCTCGTTAACTTCACACGCTGTGCACAGCACGCAAAACACATCCAAAACCTATATGATTATTGAATATTATTTTAAGTATATATAATAATGAAACTCCCCCTCTCTCCCCCACTCCCACACGCATTCTCTCTGTCTATCCACAGGCACAGTTTGTGCTTTGCATTGTGCACACCACGCGCGCACTCTTCAGCAGTCAATGCCAGTTCTCGAAGTTCATATCGACGCTGCTGTTGATCAATGCATCCATATTCTTCTGCCTCTTCATGAACTTCTATATGCAGAGCTACAGGAAGACCAAAGCACAGCAGCTGGAGCAGCAGCAGAAGCAGCAGCAGCAGCAGCAACTGACGGCAGCAACGGCGTTAGCTGACGGCAACAACAACAACAGCATCGAACTGTCAAAGGATAAACAGCAGCTGCAGCAGGAGCAGCAAATCTTGGCGCACAAACTGAAGGCGCTGTAAGACCCAAGGATGCAGCACAAATCTACAACATGCAAAATGCAATACAAATTGGTGTTGGTTCAACAAGCTGGCGAAAAAAAAAAAAAATCAAAATTTAGATTTGGAGTTAGTTTTCGGTACAAAGGTTTAAATTTAATTCGAATGGGGAGCCATAAAAATGTTTAGCTAGAACAGCACAGAAATGCCTAAGGAATACGAATAGAAAAAAGCCTAACAAATTCTGCCAGAATTTAAGCCAGGGCTTATGCAATACATAAACATAAAGATAAAGATAAAGATAAAGTAATTTTTTTTCTGTTTGACCATATAGAAACTTTGCTTGATTGCTTGTCATTGTAGCTATGAGAAACTTTCTAGAACTGGGTCAAATTTAATGATCTTAAGTCTAAGTATAAGTCATCTAATTAAGAATCTGATATATATATATATATATATATACAAAAATATATGTATAAATATGTCTAATTAGCTCAGTTTGGCAAACGTAACTGCTAAGTGTTAATTGTAATGTGTAATTTGTGAGTTTTGTAAATAGATTTTGTAAATGTTAAATGTTAAATATTTGTAGCCGTTAAGCCGTAGCCGTAAGCCAACTAGTCTTAGTTACAAAATGCGAACGAACAAACAGAGCAATAATAAAAGTTAAGACAAATATAAAAGAACAACAACAAAGCCACGAACACATTCATTTGCTAGCGTTGCCTGATTAAATGGACAAAGATGAGGCGGCTTTTCCAAAACAACAACATAAATTAACGTGAAAAAGTCGAAATAGGTGTATTTTGACCAAGCACTTATATACGACTACTTCTTTTATTTAACATTTTAATAAAAACTAAATACACAAGAAACTGAAATAAAAACCTACAAATATTTTTGATTATGGTGTGTGTCTAGACTTAAGAGTGGATCATGTCCATGCTAAAGCAAACAACAAAACCTTATGTTGGTTGTGTACTTTGCTAAACTGAATTAGCGCAGCCAACTTCACACCTAATACAATCTTCATGAGTTATATGTTGACCGACAGATGGTGAGCATACCAGTTAATCTTCGCACCTTTTCGAAATCAACAACATAAATTATAAGCGCAGTTTTCTTTCTCGTAATTTCCGCTAGCGATATAGTAAATTGAGCTGCTAATCTGTACTGTTATAAAATATGACTATTCGAAAATGCCTCACCACCTGGCGGATAAAATCGTCCCCTCATTCGAAGACAAAAGCCGGTGCCAACCAAAACAAATTTGAGTACATAAAATAAGGCAAAATTAAAATGCGGTTGCCAATAAGTTCTAAAATACAAATTGTATTAATATAAGTAACTTAAGACATTATGTTATAAATGTATTATTAATATCTTTGAAGTTCTTATCACATACAAATTTGCGATAGCATTGCAATTTGTATTTTTACATTCCGCCGACAGCGTTATGTTAAATTTAAAATTCTTATGTTATATTAACAGAAGTTCCTTGCGCTGATATCAAACTGTTATTATACTCTTTTAATTCGTTAGAAAACATTGAGTTTAAAAATGTTGACTGAATTTAAATTTATTGAATCGTATTAAATAATATAAATTTATACACAAACTAAAAATTCAGACTTTCTCCAACAACTGTTATGTAGCAGGCGGACACACTGTCTAGGGTATCTAACAGTCACCAACAGACAACAACAGTGGCCGTTTATCTTGTTTTAACAGCTGGCTGTTAGTCTTATTGGACAGCTGCGCGAGTTCGGTTGTGCGAGAGAGAGAGCTCCGGTTGTGCAAAAAGCAAAGCAAAAGCGAAATATAACAAATTGAATTAAAAGACGAAGAAAATGCAAGTCAAAAAAATAATTGAAGAATATTATTTAAAAGAGCAACGCCGACAAAATCGACAACAGCAGAAGTAGCTCCAAAAAATGAATATTGATTTTCGTGTTTTGTGACGGGCTTAAAAATAAAATAAAAAGGAGAAAAAATTGGGTGACAAAAGCAACCACTACATCTTCCAATAAGAGCTTAGATTATCAGTTGGTCTTGCTTGTTGAGCGATTTGCCAATTCCGCAATGGACGCGACGACAACAGAAGCAACAACAACAAAAACAACTACAATGTAGACGCGTTTGCTTAAGTGTTATTAACTAAGGCGAGTGTCAGTGTCGTTCAAGGTGCGAGCGAGAAGGCGCACGACAAATGCAATAGCAACAACAACAACAGCAGCAGCAACGACAACAGAAGCAAAAGCAAAAGTTCAACACTTTTGAGTCTGTGTGTGTGAGCGTGGCTGCTTGCGCGCGCGTGCAAGTGTAAGTGTATGCGTATGCGTGTGTGTGTGAGATGCAAAAGGCACACACAAAAATGTGTTCAGCAAATTCATAATCGTGAAAGCAAAAATAAAAAAATAAAATAATCAACAGAAATAACAGAAGCAAAAAGGCGCCTTAACCGGCAGAACGGACGACCACTTTGGGAGTGGCCTTGCACTTAGTGTTAGCCATATTCCAATTGGATTCCAAGCTTCAGCTGCACACACAGCAGAGATATAACAAAAAAAATAAATAAATAAATAAAATATGTGGATACCATCGAACAACAAATACGGCGTCGGTGAGTAAAACTTTTCAATAAATCTAGTGTGTGTGTGTGTGTGTGTGTGTGTGTGTGTGTGTGTATGTGGCTGTCACATCCCTCGCCTTTTGGCCAGGGCTCAACAGCACCCCCTGAGCCGGTGTAATTCAGGGTGTGCAAGCGGGGCGGGGCGGGCGTGCGACGATGCGTCACGTGCACGGTTACAACGGCTTTTGTTGCTGTTATTGTTGCTTTTGTAGCTGTTGTAGCCATGCGTTGATTCACCATTTTTCCGCGAAACACCGTGCAGCATCACAGACAGGCAACCACCCCAGACCCCCAACCCCCCACAAGCACCTCTCCGCCTGCCTAGTCATCCACCCACCCAGTCAGCCGCTGTTGCGGCATGCCGGAAAGGCGGAAAAGCGATTTTTCTACTTATTTTTATAGCATGCCCGCTGCCGCTGCCGCTGTCGCTTTTCTGCGCCTCTTCTTCTTTGACTTTTTTCTTTATGCTTTTTATTCGCTGGCAGCGTGAAACTCAAAGAGATTTCTGTTTGCTGTTGTTCTTCCTCTTCGCCGTGTTGTTGTTGCTGCTGCTGCTGCGATTTGATGTGTTTATGTTTTCATTTGCCCACCGCTGCTCGCCGCCCCTCTCGCCTTATCTCAAACACAATTGGCATCAAGCTCTCACTGCCGTGTGCCAGGTGTTGCCAATTTAAATGCCACCGTAATTACCCAGCAAGCGGCAACGTTGTTGCGGCAGCCACTGTAATTGTGACACTGCCATCGCACCATAAACTTGTTTCTCTGATAAGACTCGAGACTAGCTTTGAATGACATGAATTAACTGCCAGCCAACTCTGCCGTTTTATACCCTTTCAAATTGCGGCATTATGCTAAATGTGTGAAATAAAAAGATGTATCGTATAAATAAAAAAAATATGTATATATCCTATACATTTGTGGCTAAAACTAGACTGTTAATATAGTATAATATACCATTTAGTGCTAAATACTTTAAAATAATATAGTGTATGCTATATATGTGTATTGTCACAATCAAGTTATATATATACGCTTTTCCATAATCTGATCTTATATTCGATTAATGATTTACTTTATAATCTATATGTGTATACATTTAAGTAAAGTATTATCGTTTTAATACTTTGTTATTACGTACTATATTATTTTTAATTGAAGCTAATCTTGTTTAATTAAAGTTATAAGAGAGAATCCAATTTTAGATTTCACAAACCTTTTCAAAATGCTTGCAAATTTTATGCTTATATCAAATATTACACTTAAAGAAAATAATGAAAATTTAACAATTTTATTTTGCATCTTTAATAATTTGATATACAATATTTATCATTGACTAATCATGCTCAGTAAGGGTATTCGAGCACCGTTTATATGCGAAATTTTTGTGCTCAACTTTTACAAATGTTTTTGTTTATGTTATTGTTGATGTTGTTGTACTGCTTTTGTCATTGTTGCTGATTTTGTTTTTTATTGTGTTTTCTCCGCTGTCCAGTTTTTCTGCATATATATATATATATATATATATATATATATATATATATATATATTACATTATCAGCACTTTCGTAACAGTTTTCGCATTAATGCGAACGCTTAACAAATGACAATTGCGTCTAAAGAACTTACCGATGAATCATTAATGTATTAATGGCCTCTTCTAAAGCTCTCTCTGAGTCTCTATCTTTAGGTGCCTTTCTAGATGCCTAAATAATTACCTCTTAATCTCTATCTAGAGCTGTTTTCTAATCTCTATATGTTGTTGTCTCCCAAATAGTTTCTGATTCATTAATCTAAGCTACTTTTCAGTTATGTTTTTCCAGCTGTTTCTTGAGCTATCTCTGAATCTGCATCGTTAACTCTCTGTCTCTCTCCCTGAATCTCCGTCTAAACCTGAGTCTAAGTTCCATATGTAATTGCCAGCTTAGCCGCCGGTGAATCTTCCTGTCTATCCGTATCTCTATCTATTTATCAGATATATGTAGGTAGGTAGATATATATTTAATATATCTATCTACTTATCTGTCTATCTATCTATCTGTCTATCAATATTTCTATCAATCTATCTATCTATCTTTCTATCTATCTATCTATCCCTCTAGCTGCTCTTATTTTCTCATACACATTGCCTTTGAATCTCCACAATAAGTCTCATTCATCTCCTCTGCTTCATCTCAATTTGTCACTCAATCTTCATCTATAGCTGCCCCACTAGATACTCTGGTCTTTTATCTGTATCTCATTTCTCTCTCTCTCTCTCCCTCTCTAAACCTCTGCCCACAGCGGCATCTACTGTTGCCTCTCATGCTCTATCTACGTCTGTTACTGAAACTCGCTCTCGCTCTCTCTCTCTCTCTGGCTGGCTCTACATCTGAAGGCCGGTCAGCAGCTTCACTTCCGCTTGCCTCATGTGCCCGATAAGCTGAAGTTGTCATCTACAAATGTATTGTTGATGATGCTGTTGCTACTTCTACTGCTTCTTCTGCTTCTACTGCTGCTGCTGTTGCTCTAGTTTCCACATTCCATGCAACTGCTGTTGATTTGTGACATGGCAGCCAGTCAAAGTTTACACAAATCAATCAGCCAGCCATCAGCTCGAGAGTTTAGCCCAGGGGCTTGTCATCCACGCAATGTAAACGCCATTAGTGGCTGGCTGTCTGGCTGTCTGGTTGGTCGGCTGGTTGTCCAGGCAGCGCGAACAACGCCCTAACCTTGCACAATAAACGGGGTCTGCGACTGCGGATCTGGCTGTCATCTGCCACGTGCTGGTCGTATGCAGCTTTCGCTTGGCCAATGACTTCATTAACATCCGCATGCCACAGGCCCCAGTTCCAGGCCCGGGCACACGTTCTTTGTCTGTTGCTGCATTTTTATACTCATTCACGAAAGTGAATCAGTATATTGGTTTTGTGCAATGTCCGTCTTGCTGTCCGTCCGTCTGTCCGTCCGTCCGTCTGTCCGTCTGTCCGTCTGTCCGTATGAACGCAATCTATTTCGGCGCTATTGAAGCTAGAGACTTGAAATTTGGAGCACATACTCGTGTATATATATATAGGGGCGTGGCAAATCGGAAAATGCATTTTCCGATATACCAGAAATCATATAAGTTGAAGAGCTAGAAAGCTGAAATTCGGTATGTAGGTCCGCGTCGACAACCCAAGATCACAAGCTATGGCGGATATATCTCCGCCCATTGGGGGCGTGGCAAATCGGATAAAACTGTATCTCCTAAAGTTGTAAACCAAGAATACTGAAATTTTGCATGTCAGCTAATGTTATGATTCTATAATGTCTAAAAATAAAATTATAAGTCTACACCCATTAGGGGCGTGGCAAATCGGACCTGAAGATATAGTGATTTTTCAAATTCTGCTATTTTTTGGACACTATTGATGCCAGAGATCTCAAATTTTGTATATATACTCGGGCTGATCACCCAAGACCAAAAAGCTTTGTCGGATATATGTCCGCCCGCAGGGGGCGTGGCAAACCGCAAAAATGTATATCTTCTAAAGTATAATAGCTAGAAGCTTCAAATTTAGATAGTTGAGTTACTGGTAGCCTCCTCTATCGATTCCCCAAAAAATAATTTTTACGCCTCTTTAGGGGCGTGGCATACCGAAAAATACCCTGTAATTTTCACTTTTTTTGAGAGTAAGCATTCAAACTTTGCAGTTAGGGTACTGTTATCTCGTTCTAGAAACTGACCAAAAATGAGGTGTCTACGCCCAGTAAGGGCGTGGCAAATCGGAAAAGCCTGTATATTCTACAGTATTAGAGCGAAACTTAACTACTAAATTGTTGATGGGATGTGAATGAGTATTCCGCAGTCGGTAACGCCCGACTGCAACGTTCTTACTTGTTTTTTTTCTTTTTTGGGCAGCAATTGTAAGCATTGTCAGGGTAAACCAATCAGCGCTTTTGTATACCCTGTAACTATTTGAAAAATGCGTGTGAGTGTGGGTACAATTAGAATTAAGAACATGAAACAAATTTTGATTTTTATAAAAAGAAAGTTATGAATTATAATATCAAATAATACAAAATTTAGATTTTAAAAGTTAACAAACCTAGCGAATAATATAATTATATATTGATATATAAACATATAGAAACATATGTATATATTCATATTGGAAACTAAGTAAAACCCCAATTGGAGCAGTGGGTCTGTGAATTCTAATCGAAAAAAGTGAAGTGCTCATTTTACAGTTAAGTCAACTGTTTAGCTTAAAGTCCAGTTCATGAACTCAATTTGGAAACAGATTTTTGCTGTAAAATGCTTATGCAAGATTTCCACTTTAAGTGTTTATATTATATGCTTGATAAATTATATATATACTTGTTACTCAACACTTATTCTCCATTATTTCTGTAAAATATCAAACTTGTATACTATATAAGTATACTATAGCATACTATATACAATACCTTATACTATATCATTATTAAGTATTTTATTTGATATATAATATTTAAAAGATGAACTAACTCATTTAACGAAATACTATAGCTTGATTTCTAATACAAAATTTAGTTAGTCGCATACTAATCTATATGTATATGTTGTGTATCTTTATATGTTATAATATATCCTATACATATATCTAAATAGGAAATGTCCAGCTTATATAAAGTATACATAAGTCCCTATAGTAGTGTTTAGGATATGCATAGATTACATATTGTATATACAAGTATGTTGATTTATATATACAGTAGAATTCGGTTAAAACGACTCCACTTATATCGTTTGTACGGTTGTTGCGAAGAAAATTCAAGTCCCCAGATAAACTTATATGAGCAAACTTATGCGGATATAGCGTCTTCCGGTTATAACGACGGTCCCTTGTATATGTAAAGAATATTTTAGTCATTTCTATATTATATATATAGACTTATAATGATTCACCAAATAAAATGTCAGATCTAAATGCATATTTGCTCAGCTGCAGCTTCAACAGCTGCTGAACTATAGCTCACCCTGGCTTAGT